TAGGAACTGGTGGAGGGGCGGGTGGTAAAAGGACCAGTCGGCAGAGTCCACTGGGAAACCAAGGAAGACACAGGGGACGGCGCGTGCCGAGAGCTTGTCCGCGGAGGTGTCGCAAACAAGCGCAAGGCAGCCCCAGACTCGAAAGGCCGACCCAACACCAGGGGAACCAGTCCAAAGACTGGTCGGTGAAGCCTCGGGCCGCGAGACACGCGGCTGGAGGTTCAGCTGGTGTGCGGCGTAGCGAACCGCGTGGGGCCACAGAAAATGGGGCGCACGGGCATGGATCATGGACGTGCGGGCGATGTCCATGACCAAGCCTATGCGGCGCTCAGCAACCCCATTCTGCTGTGGGGACTCTGGCAGCGTCCAGGACTGGGTGATGCCCTGTTCGCCGCAGAATCCGCCGAGAATGCCGGAGCGAAACTCGCCCCCACGGTCGGAGTGGAGACAACTGACTCGACGACCACGAGTGCCCTCAGTAGCTAGGAGCCACCTGATCAGCGTAGCAGTCACCTCGGACTTCTTTGCAAGAGGGAACACTGTGGTGTACCTGGAGTAGTCATCGACGACCACCAGAAAGTAACGCTCCCTCCCAGAACCCTGCGTCGGGGCAGGGCCCCAGACGTCCAAGTGGAGGGTCTCGAAGGGAGCGGTGGCCGGACGAAGGGAGGAGGAGTGGGGAGTGGCGCGTAAGCGACCGGCGACGCAAGGAGTGCAAGGGGGAGCAAGGGAGGTGGGGAGCGACGGAAAGGTGCGTGGGAGACCGGTGACCAGCCCGTGAGTGGTCATCCCGCGGAGGCGGGGGATCGACGGGTGGCCAAGGCGGTGGTGCCACAAGACGGTCCGGTGGGTGAGGGACCGACAGGAGCAGGACGCAGCGACTGGACTAGACAGCGTGACCTGACTAGACACTGCAACTAGACCGGACTCTGCTACCGGGGGGGACGAAGCAACCTGACCAGACGCAGCTACCTGCGGGGGCGGAGTGTGCAGAACGAAGAGACCTGAGTGGGGCCCTCTGGTGAACGTGGCAAGAACTGCCCCGGTGGAAGAGTCCGTACAGATCGCAGTCCTCCCGTGCGCAGGAAAAGTGACTGTGATCCCCCGGTCCTGAAGGTATCCAACACCCACCAAGTTCCGAGAGAACGAGGGGATGTAGAGACCAGTGAGGAAACCAGAGGGGACAGCTGGGCACGGGAGAGTGGTCGAGCTGCGAGCAACTGCTGGTCCTGAAGTAGGATCAGCCAGGGCAACTGGGACTGGAGCCGAAAGAGGTGTGACAGTGGTGTGGTCGCGAAAGAAGCACTGGGACGCGCCGGAGTCCAGCGTGAAGGAGAGCGACGCAACAGCAATCGTCACGGCTGGGCTAGTGACTACACAAGCACCTACACTAATAGCACAAGTACCTACAGTAGCAACAGGCAAAGGTCCTAAGCTAGGTACACGCAAGCCAAGAGATCCGTACGTGACAGAATAAACAGCATCCATAGACATATCAAACACAGGGTAACCACTACGAAACAAACCGGGCCAGATCGGGGAAGCCGACTCAGGCCCAAAACGCTCACGGTATAGGTCGTCGAGGCGACTGTAGCAACGCGGTGCAGAGTGGTCAGGACGCCAGCAGGTAGTGCCAGCACCAGGGCCGGTCAGGATCCGGTACTAGCAGGGGCCGACGTCGCGGCCACCGCGACGAGCCCCCAAGCCGCCTGGGCCGCTGCTGCAGCCAACGCTACCCGAACCGCCAGTCCGCCACGGCTGCTGATGGCGCCACAACTGCTGAGGGCAGATCTGCTGAGGGCGCCACTGCTGCTGCGGGTGCCACTGCTGAAACTGCCGCTGCTGCTGTCCCTGCTGCTGGAGAATCCTAATGGACGCCATGATAAAGGCTAGGAGCGGCAGGAGCTAGGGACGGCCACGAGAACAACTAGGAGCGCGAGGTGAAACTAGGCGAGGAACGACCGGTGCTGGAACGGCTGGAGCTGAAACGGCTGGAGCTAGAACGGCTGGAGCGAGAACGGCTGGAGCGAGAACGGCTGGAGCTAGGCACGGCTGGAGCTAGGTGTGGCTGGAGCTAGAACGGCTGGAGTGAGAACGGCTGGAGCTAGGGACTGTAAGTGCGGCTGTCGGCTGCCGCTAGTGGAGCCAGTGGCAGTGGAAAGTACGTGCGACAAAGGGGCTGCAGTACTGACGGCTGCGGGAGGTAGGGAACTGTGCAGGTCGTCCGGCAAGCAGGAACGCGGGCGACAGTTGCAGCCCCCCACCCTGAACCCCCCCCCCTTTTTTTTTTTTTTTTTTTTTTAGGGTTTAATTTATTAATTTTATTTTCTGGCGCTAAAGCGCTGCGGGGCGCGCTGCCTGCAGGGTGTGCTGCCTGCGGGACGCGCTACCCGCGGGGCGCACTGCCTGCGGGGCGCGCTACCCGCGGGGCGCGCTCCCTGCGGGGCACGATTTCTGCAGGGGGCGCGCTACCTGCGGGGCGGGGCGACGCGGCGGGCTAGGGGCAGGGCGCACAGGTGCGCACGGGCTAGGGGCAGTGCGCACGGGCGACGTTACGGGCTGGGGCAGGGCGCATGGGCAACGTGACGGGCTGGGGCAGGGCGCACGGGCTACGCGACGGGCTAGGGCAGGGCGCACGGGCTACGCGACGGGTTAGGGCAGGGCGCACGGGCGACGCGACGGGCTGGGGCAGGGGCCACGAGTTACGCGACGGGCTAGGGCGGAGGCGCGATACGGAGGGCGTGGAGGGCGCGTAGGGGAGGGCTAGGCGCGGAGGCGCGGATGGCGCGTTACGGAGGGCGCGGAGGGCGCGTTACGGAGGGCGCGGATGGCGCGGAGGGCGCGGAGGCCGCGTTACTCGAGGCTAGGGCGCAGAGGGCGCTAGGGCGCGTGGAGGAGGGCGCGTAAGGCGCGGAGGCGCTCTAGAGCGCGGAGGGCGCAAGGGCGCGGAGGGCGCTAGGGCACGTGACGGAGGGCGCGTAAGGCGTGGAGACGCTCTAGGGCGTGGAGGGCGCGAAGTAGGCTAGGCTAGGCAAGGATTCTAAACCTACTCGTGATACCATCTCAGAAAGTGAATGCAACGGAATGATTGGAATTAGGGTTTGCAAGGGTACAAATAGGAATCCTACAAAAGCTATACTCTCTAGGGAGTACCTCACTGCAGCCTATCATAACATTAACATTTGACATAGGATGTACATGCACAGAATCATGGATCCATTTCGACACCAAGTGGCACACGCGAATATGTTAGATTATAGATGTCATGTGTCAACGAATGAGAAACGGATTGAGTCGAGCTGACGTCAACCCTGGGGATTTTTTTAAATGCTGCATGTATCATAGCTGCAACATTTTGCTGTCTGTCTTTTGCTGCAACGCGCCAAATAGCGACGCATATGGTCCCTGCATGGGTGGATGAGACAAATTATAAGACCACTATAATCTTATAGAATGATGTGGGCTTTCATATCCATAAGGCCATTTTCTATGTTAGTTTCATTTATTGAAATGGTGGCAGCGTGGTAGATGACAAGACTTGACGCTTATGTAAAAATGCACAGAATCCGTACATCACAAGTGACCGCTAAGTGACGCCATGTCAGATGTGCTGCCTCTTCCACCTTCTGAACTGACTCCAGACCTCATAGGAGGATGACAGCACTTTCAGTGTGCGAAAAGGTATTCTGAATGGCGGATGCCACATCGACAATGTTTGGATGAAGCGGGGACGGAACCAGCCAGAATGAACACCTGCGTCCTGGCAGGCATTGCAATCACTGACCAATATATGAACCCAAGAATGTATCGGGTAGTTCCTTGTACCAGGGCTATTTCGAACTATAGGAGGTTATTCTCACAAAGTGACTCTGAACTCATTTCAGACCCGCTCTATTGTTCAGTATGCTCGAGAAGTTAGGGTCTACACCTGGGTTTCATTCCACCAACACCTCAATTCCAACTTTTATAATGGCTCGCATCCCCAACTTCCACTACACACCCTCAGCGCTTCCACAGACGACAAACGCCCGTCCTGCTCGACCGGGACTCAGGGTGCATTCGTGGCCCGTGTCAGACTTCAGGTCAAAAGCCCTTAGACTCCAATTTGGCTCATCCGAACTCGGATTTGCCTCACAAACGACCCACTTCGGGTCTTCCGAACCTCCACTTCGGGTCTGACCTGATGTCTGACACGGGCTACGAATGCGCCCTCAGAATGATGTCAAGAAACGATTTCAGTCACTTTTGTACTGTACTGTATTTCTGCTGACGACGAGCCAAGCCCAACAACGGCTTTGTCGCTCGGCAGGATCGAGGGAAGGCTCGTTCCTGCAACAATCCCAAGATTCGGGGTGGAGTTACCTTGGGGAGTGCGCTGCAGTCATCATCTGTAACTAGCAACCTGTGGGAAGGACATCATTCGAGCTCCCTTTCCGTTCGGTTAAGGACGATACTGTGCAATCTGGAGCGGTCATGTTTCTTCACTGGTTTGAAACATTCGTTACTCACCAAAATCGTTTTTTACGAGCTGTGAACCAACAAATGTGACGCGCCGTGGCTGTTGTGGGATCAGTATCTTTGTGTGCGGAAAGCTCAATAGCGACGCTGCTTCTTCATGCCATTTGCACTTGCCATGGCTCCAGTAACAGTCAGCTTTTCCGTAGACTACGCAATGCCGCTAACTAGGCAATAGATGTTATGCTATTAGCCACTAGCAACAAAATGTCACCTGGTCTTTAGTAACTACCACTAGCAAGGTTTGCAAAAAGTTCTGTCCTTCGTCCGAACGCAATCGTATGTCGCTGCAGTCAGTTCTCATCTGTAAGCTTTCGTTTCTTAGGCCGTGTCCCAACAGTACGTCTACAGCCATTTCTTCGTGGCTCAGGACGGTTCCACACGGTGGAAAGCGGTTCTCGAGCTTCACCGTTTTCACCGCGACGCACCGAAATAGACCACACCGAACGAACAAGAGACGTACTCTTGGGACACGTCCTTAGGCCATGCCGCTAACTGTGACCTATCAGGCTCCTCCTCCCATCCAAAGGAAAATATCTCCTGGGACTACCCCACACACACTAGTAGGACCTGTAGGGAGCGGAAAACACGGCGCGAATGGCGGCGGAAATGGCGGTGGAAAGCCAGGAAAGCCCGGACAAGGCCTCACCGTCTTAGGGTTTGTTCAACAGGCGCAGTTCGTGCAGTTCGTGCTTGACCCTTGGACCGCTCGAATATGCGCCGCGAGCGAGGGTGCATGCGACGCGTTAGGTTACACTTTCGAGGAGCTAGAAGCGCTAACGCTATGCGGTTTAGTTGACGGTTTGCCGTTACCGGAATGGCTGCAGCTGGTTGCTCCCCTTGCGACCGGAGAGCAGCGCGGCGCGAAGCTCAACGCGGTGTTGAGACCAGGAAGCGGTGCAGGCGGGACGGGCGGAAGCGCAGCGGAAACCCGGGGGGAAGACGCGGGGGGAACCGAAAATGAGGGTTTCGTTGGGGGGGACGGCATTGGCCGGTCCAGTAGCCGAAGCAGCGGAGGAGGTTCGGAAGCAGCGGGGTTGTCGCTGGTTCGGCGGAAGACTTGGGGAACGGGAGCTGGCGGCGCGGGACGAGGCGGAAGCGGAAGCGGAGGGGGAGGCGGGGGAGTAAGGACGGGGGTTTCCGCGGGTGCGGAGGTTTCTGCGCTGAACGCGGGGCTGCGCACGAGCACGTCTGAGGACGTGCGGTCGTTCTCGTCCACGTCAGACAGCTTTTCTCGGGACGGGTTCGCGCAGAATCAAATATTTTCGGATGACGACGATGACGATGACGAGGACGACTATGGCGGGGACGGGATGGTGGGCGCGCAATGGGCGGAAGACCGCGCGGCAAGCCGGAGGAGCAGGCGGAGGCACAGGGAGGGGCGGAAGCGGCACCACCAGCAGCAGCAGCAGCAGGGGAGGGAACAGATACAGGAGCAGGGGAAGCAGTTGGGAAAGGAGCAGCAGGCGAGGGAGCAGCAAGTGGTAACCGCTCACGGCGAGACTCGCGAAACGAGCAGTGGCGCGTGTGCTGGTGGCAGGTCACCCGTTCTGTATACCATTATGCTCCAGTACTTCGAGAGTAACGGGGAGCGCGAGCTCGTAGCAACGGCGCACCAACTCCCGCAACAGCAAGCGCAGGCGCAGCAGGGGCAGGCGCAGCAGCGGCGGAATGGCGACGATCTTGACGTTAACGATGACGTTCACGCTGACGTTGACGTTGACGATCCCGCGTCCCCATACCCCAAGACCTTTTCCCTTACCACTCAGCCACAGACGGGCTCCGGCGGCCCGGGCGCCTTGAGGTGCCTCTTAGTAGGCTCCTTAAACCACGGAAGCGGCTCGGAGCAGCAGGACGGAAGCGTGCGGGGCGGGCAGGGCGCAGAGGAGGGGATTGGCGGGAATGGCGGAAGCTGGGAAGTTGGCGCGGGCGGAAGCGGGGCGGAATACAGGGCGGCGGGCAATGGAGGGGAGTGCAAAGCGGAGAGTAATAGAGCGGGCTCGACGCTTCGGCGGGAAGGCAGTCTAGGGACAGGGTTTCGGCGAGAGAGCAGCATAGGGGCGGGGCTTCGGCGGGAGAGTAGCATAGGCTCGGGGCGCTTACCGCCTTTGCATTCCCAGTCAAACGATGGCGCCGCGAGCGTTCCTCCGCATGCGTTTACGCATGCGCATGCTCACGGGAACATAGGCATGGGCGCGAGCGTGAGTGCGAAGGCGAATGTGAATGCAGCAGCGCAGATTAATCCGCAGCAGGTGGGGAACAGGCCGCGATTAAAGGAGTTTAAGGACCATGAGAAGCTGACGTGGGAAGAGCAGGTGACGTGGCAGCTGGGGGAAGGCGCGAGCGGGGGGAGCAGGGGGATGGGTGGCGGCGGCGGAGGGAGCGGGGGAAGCAGGGCGAAGACGGGGAGCAGGGGGAGAAATGGGGGGAGAGGGGGAGGGGGACTGGGGCGCCAGCGAAGCTTAGACGCGAATTTCGTGCAAGAGATAGGTTTCGCGAGTGAAAGTGACTCTGAGGAGGATTTCCCACTCGGGCGGAGAGGGGGAGCGGACGAGGAGCGGATGGGGGGAGCGGAGCGGTTTGGGGGAAGCGGAACCACGGTTGGAGGGGGAAGAATGGGGGGAGCGGGGGCGGGGGGGAAGACAGTGCGGGGAATGGTGGCTATGTCCCCCGAGAGGAGGTGGTGTGGGACGAGCGGAGGGGGAAGGGGGAAGGGAGGGGGGTCGTGGGGCGGAGAGAGGGGGTTTGTGGCGGAAGAAGGGGAATTCGAGGCGGAGGGGGAGACGAGGGGGGATGGGAGGGGAGAGGTGAGGGGAGAGGGAAGGGTGGAGGGGAGGGGGGCGGGGAGGAGGCAGGAAAGAAAGCAGGCGGAAGCTGTTTCTGTTGTTGGTGGTCGTGATAGGGGTCATGGTGGTGGGGGTGGTGATGATGATGAGGATGATGATGAGATGTGTCTTGGCCCTACGAGGGCACAGACGCTGGGAAGGCTGTCTGAGAGGAATGGGAGAAGAATGAGATTCAAATCAGGTGAGTGGGAAGGAAGGAGGGAGAGAAACCGGTGGTAGTGTGGTGGTGATGAGATGTGTGTTGGGCCTATGAGGGCACAGAGGCTGGGAAGGCTGTCTGAGAGGGCTGGGAGAAGGATGCGATGCAAATCAGGTGAGAAAAAAAGAGAGAAGGAGACGGGTGGAGGTTTTTGAAGGGGAGATGGGTGGAGAAAAGACTCAATAGTTACCTCTTTGTCGCATTGTCTTGTGCATTTTGCTTTTATTATCCACCCATTTTCATCCCACCCCCCAATACCCCATCCAATCCTCCCTCCCCACTCTCTCTCTCCCGATTCCCTCCCCCTCCCCCCCCTCTCTCCTCCGCCCCACAATCCTCCCCTTACCTACCCCACAACCCCCCCTCTTCCCCTCCCCGCTTTCCCATCCCCTCCTCCCCCCCATCCCCCCGAGCAGAGGGTGGTGGTTTCACCCACTCATGGCTGGATGACGTGCCGGACTCCCATTGGCTCCCGGACCTGCACGTCCGGGCCCACCTGGACGAAGCAGGGATAGGTCTGGCGGGGCTCCGCCTGGGAAGTGGCGAGCTGGTTCACTGCAGCGCTGCTCTGGCCGCCATGCTGGGGCGATCAGTGAACGCACTTGAGGGGTCTCCCCTGCAGAACTTCCTCAGCGCCCCTGCCATTCGCAGCTTCCAGGTATGTGGGTCTCCCAGCTTCCAGGCTGGCTAACAGGGGGCTGTGCGGGTGGTTGAGTGGGTGGGTGGGCAGTGGCGAGCTGGTTCACTGCAGCGCTGCTCTAGCCGGCAAGCTGGGGCGATCGGTCAATCCATTGGAGGGCTCTCCTCTGCAGAATTTCCTCAGCGCCCCTGCCATTCGCAGCTTCCAGGTGGGTTTCCCAGCTTTTCCAGGCTGGCTGGGCAGGGGGCTGGCTGGGCTGGGGTGGGTGGGTGGGCAGTGGCGAGCTGGTTCACTGCAGCACTGCTCTATCCGCCATGCTGGGGCGACCAGTGAACGCACTTGAGGGGTCTCCGCTGCAGAATTTCCTCAGCGCCCCTGCCATTCGGAGCTTTCAGGTGGGTGTCCTGTCCGTCCCATTAGCTGTTAGTTCCCCTGGATGCAGCAGGGATAGGTCTAGCGGGGCTGCGCCTGGGAAGTGGCGAGCTGGTTCACTGCAGCGCTGCTCTGGCCGCCATGCTGGGGCGATCAGTCAATGCACTGGAGGGGTCTCCTCTGCAGAACTTCCTCAGCGCCCCTACCATTAGGAGCTTCCAGGTGGGTGGGTCTCCCAGCTTCCAGGTGGGTTATTCTGGCTTGTCCCAGGCACCCAGAGGTCAGGGGCTTGGCTGTACGTGAGGTAGCGCCCCTAGATGCGGGAGAGCAGCAGGCAGGCAGGGATAGGTCTGGCGGGGATCCGTCTGGGCAGTGGCAAGCTGGTTCACTGCAGCGCCGCTCTAGCCGCCATGCTGGGGCGATCGGCCCAGTCTCTCGAGGGGTCTCCTCTGCAAAACTTCCTCAGCGCCCCTGCCATTCGCAGCTTCCAGGTGTGTGGGTTGGTTCAAGCGGGAACAGAAACAATGGGGGCAACCATCAGGCCTAGGCCTATCTTGGGGTGCGTGCGTGGGTGGGCAGGGCAGTGGCGAGCTGGCTCACGGCACTGCCGTTCTAGCTGCCATTCTGGGATGATTCTCTCAGTGTTTCCCTGCTGCAGAATCTCCTCAGCCCCCCTGCAGCGCCTCAGATGTAGACTCCCTCCTCCCGTCACCTCTCTCTCCCCCCTCCCCTCCTCACCCTCTCCCCCTTTAACCTCCCCACGCTCCCCCCTCACTCCCGTCCCCCTCCAGAGCTGGTTCGGCAGCATCTCAGCAGCGACTCTGTCAGCACACGCACAGCACCTATCACCACATGCCACGTGGCACAGGCAGTCGCACCATGACCTGCACGTCCTCATGCCAGGTGGGTCATATGCGTGTGTGCTCTCTGCTGTGCTGTGCGCTACCCTTGCATGCGTGGTGCGTTTGTGCATTCTGTCCCCCGCCCCCCCTTCGCCCCCTCTCTCTCTTATCCTTCCCCCCCCTACAACCCTCAGGAGGCAGCATGCGGCGCATTCGTCTCACATGCCACATGGCACCAGCAGCAGGTGGTGTGGGTGGTGTGGTGCGTGTTGCTTGATCCGAGCTGCTTATGCCTCCACTCCTCCCCTCACTTCTCCTCTTCCCCTCTTCTCCTCCCCTATGTTCTTGTCACTCTTTTATCCCCCTTCCCAGGAGGCAGCATGCGGCGCATTCGCCTCACATGCCATGCGGCACCGGCAGCAGATGGGCCGGGTGGGGTGTGCTGCCTACTCCTCGTCCCCCTTGCTTATCTGTCTCCCCATCCACCCCACCTCCACCCTCCAGGAGGCAGCATGCGGCGCATTCGCCTCACATGCCATGCGGCACCGGCAGCAGATGGGCCGGGTGGGGTGTGCTGCCTACTCCTCGTCCCCCTCGCTTATCTGTCTCCCCACCTCCACCCTCCAGGAGGCAGCATGCGGCGCATTCGCCTCACATGCCACGTGGCACCAGCAGCAGATGCTGCAGCTGGTGTAAGGGGCGATGACCCTCCCTCCATGTTCATGGCTCTCTTCTGCGACCTCTCTGCTGCTCTGCACGGCTCCAAGGTTGGTGGTGGGGGTTTAAGGTGTGTCATAGCTCTAAGGTGAGGGGTGCTGCGGTTGAGATGGCATGAAGGGGGAAGGCTGCAGCTGGTGTAAGGGGCGATGACCCCCCCTCCATGTTCATGGCTCTGTTCACCGACCTCTCTGCTGCTCTGCACGGCTCCAAGGTGAGGGGTGGTGGTGAGGATGGGGGTGCTGGTGGGGGTGCTGGTGGTGGGATGCGCCATAGCTGCAAGGTGGGTTGTGGGGTGGGAGGAAGAGAAGGGAGGGAGGCTAAGGCTGAGGGGCGATGACCCTCCCTCCATGTTCATGGCCCTCTTCTGCGACCTCTCTGCTGCCCTGCACGGCTCCAAGGTTGGTGGTGGGGCGTCATAACTCCAAAGTGGGCGGTAGGATGCGAGCAAGAGGAGGTAGGTAGGCTGGGGGTGGTGATGACCCCCCCTCCATGTTCATGGCTCTCTTCACCGACCTCTCTGCTGCCCTGCACGGGTCTAAGGTGCGTTATCCCATGCCTCCAGGCAAGTGGTGCTGGGAGTGGTGCGGGGCACCAGCAGCAGATGGGGCAGGTGGGGCGAGGGGCGATGACCCCCCCCCCCCGTCCTCGTTCATGGCTCTCTTCTGCGACCTCTCTGCTGCTCTGCACGGCTCCAAGGTGAGGGGCGAAGGGGGTCAGCAGCACCGCAGCAGTAGTGGCACATATGCTCCTCTGCTCCCTACTGACATTATACCGAGTTGACTTTTGAATCGACTCAGAAGTAAAATAAGTAAAAAAAGTCATTTTGAGTCGACTCAAAAGTAAAAGAAGTCAAAAGTCATTTTGAGTCGACTCAAAAGTCAACTCGGTCAGCAGCAGTAGTGGCGCATATGCTCCTCTGCTCCCTACTCCACCGCACTTAGCTGTACTTCACCACCCTCCCACCCAACCTACCTCACCCCTTCCCACCGCACAACAGGAGGTGCGAGCGAAGCGGTGTGCCTTCATACTCCAGCACCTGCCAGCAGGGGTGGCGCACATGCTTCCAGAGGAGCGGACCAGAGGGGGAAGCGGAGGCGGGGGGAGCGGCACGGCACATACGTTCCCCTGCTCCTTACCCCATCCCACCCTACTACACCGCACTTAATCGCACCCCACCTGACCTCAACCTCCCCAACCCCTTTCACTCCACAACAGGAGGTGCGTGCAAAGCGGTGTGCTTTCATTCTCCAGCACCTTCCAGCAGGAGTGGCGCACATGCTTCCAGAGGAGAGAACCAGAGGGGGAAGCGGAGGGGGGGGGAGCGGCGGGGGGAGCGGCAACAGTGCTGGTAGTGGTAGGGGCGGCAGGGGGGAGAGGAGTGGTGGCAGCAGCAGCAACGGGGATGAGGTGGTTATTAACCCTCATATGGAGGCAATTACGGGGTATTCACGGGAGGAGCTGAGCACAGTGGATTCGTGGTTCTCGCGCCTGTTCAGGGAAAGGGCAGAAGAGGTGAGAGGGAGGGGAGTGAGAAAGTGGGAGAGTGTGGTTGGGGGAGGGATAGTAGGGTAACGAGTAAAGGTGGTTGTGAGGAAGCTGTGTGGGGGTAAGGAAGAAGGGAGGAGCTGAGTACGGTTGACTCGTGGTAATCGTGCCTCTCAGGGAAAGAGCGGAGGAGTGAGAGGGAAGGGAGTGGGAGAGTGGTGGAATAAGGAGGATGGTGCGGAGGGATGGCGAGCCACGGTGGCTGGAGGTGGCAGTGAGGGACTGTGGGGCGGGAGCGGAGGGGTTGACGGTAATGCACAATGCACATACCTGTTTCTCTTGCCCATTCCCCATCTCACCTCCCCCACAGGTGCGGCAGATTCTGGAAGCAGATCGTGCAATGGGGTTCAGGGAGTCGAGAACTCTGAGGATGGTGCGCAGGGATGGAGAGCCGCGGTGGCTGGAGGTGGCTGTGAGGGACTGTGGGGCGGGAGGGGGCGACCTGTGGGTGGGTGATAGCATCAACAGATTAATCCGTGTGTGCATGGCTCTCCTTCCCCCACACCATCCCCACAGGTGCGGCAGATCCTGGAAGCGGACAGGGCGATGGGGTTCCGGGAGTCGAGAACACTGAGAATGGTGCGCAGGGACGAAGAGCCGCAGTGGTTAGAGGTGGCTGTGAGGGACTGTGGGGCGGGAGGGGGCGACCTGTGGGTGGGTGGTAGCATCAGTAAACCAATCCCTGTGTGCCTGTGTCTCTTGCCCCCTCATGCCCCCACAGGTGCGGCAAATTCTTGAAGCGGACAGGGCGATGGGGTTCAGGGAGTCGAGAACGCTCAGGATGGTGCGCAGGGACGGAGAGCCGCGGTGGCTGGAGGTGGCTGCGAGGGACTGTGGGGCGGGAGGGGGCGACCTGTGGGTGGTGAGCGATATCACGGACCATCTGATCGTGCGGGAGAAGTTCCGGCTGCTCTATGAAGCCTCGTCGGTGAGTCAGTGGCTCCTGTTGCTTGCTTCCCGCTGGCTGGTTTGCTTGTCGTTGCTTTGCTCCCTCCAACCCATCCCAACCACACCTGTGGGTGGTGAGCGACATCACGGACCACCTGATCGTGCGGGAGAAGTTTCGGCTGCTCTATGAAGCCTCCTCGGTGAGTGGTTGGTGAGGTTAGCTTGATTGCTCCCGCTGCCCTTGGGTTTCCCCTCTCCAACCGTCACATTTGGTGACCCCACCCCCATCCTACCTACAAGCACACCTGTGGGTGGTGAGCGACATCACAGACCATCTGATCGTGAGGGAGAAGTTCCGGCTGCTCTATGAGGCCTCCTCGGTGAGTGGTTGGTGAGGTTAGCTTGATTGCTCCCGCTGCCCTTGGGTTTCCCCTCTCCAACCGTCACATTTGGTGACCCCACCCCCATCCTACCTACAACCACACCTGTGGGTGGTGAGCGACATCACGGACCATCTGATCGTGAGGGAGAAGTTCCGGCTGCTCTATGAGGCCTCCTCGGTGAGTGGTTGGTGAGGTTAGCTTGATTGCTCCCGCTGCCCTTGGGTTTCCCCTCTCCAACCGTCACATTTGGTGACCCCACCCCCATCCTACCTACAACCACACCTGTGGGTGGTGAGCGACATCACGGACCATCTGATCGTGAGGGAGAAGTTCCGGCTGCACTATGAGGCCTCCTCGGTGATTGGTTGGTGAGGTTAGCTTGATTGCTCCCGCTGCCCTTGGGTTTCCCCTCTCCAACCGTCACATTTGGTGACCCCACCCCCATCCTACCTGCAACCACACCTGTGGGTGGTGAGCGACATCACGGACCATCTGATCGTGAGGGAGAAGTTCCGGCTGCTCTATGAGGCCTCCTCGGTGAGTGGTTGGTGAGGTTAGCTTGATTGCTCCCGCTGCCCTTGGGTTTCCCCTCTCCAACCGTCACATTTGGTGACCCCACCCCCATCCTACCTGCAACCACACCTGTGGGTGGTGAGCGACATCACAGACCATCTGATCGTGTGGGAGAAGTTCCGCCTGCTCTATGAGGCCTCGTCGGTGAGTGGTTGGTGAGGTTAGCTTGATTGCTTTCCCTTGGTTTGCTCCAGCCAACCATCTCACTTGCAAGTGCTCACATTTGGTGACCACCCCACATACAAGCACACCTGTGGGTGGTGAGCGACATCACGGACCATCTGATTGTGAGGGAGAAATAGCACTCCCCTTCCCTCCATTCTTCCCCCTTCTCCAGGACGGCTACCTGGTATTCGACGACACGGGCATCACGGAGTGCAACGATGCGGCCATCCACTGCCTGCGTTGCATTGCAATGTGCAATCATGTTTCCTCAACCTCCCTCCCCCTCCTTCCCCCTTTCTCCAGGACGGCTACCTCGTATTTGATGACACAGGGATCACGGAGTGCAACGACGCCGCCATCCACTGCCTGCGCTGCAGCGACAAGAGCGAGCTCATCGGGCGGCATCCCGCGTACTTTTCCCCCGAGCGCCAGCCGGACGGGCGGCGGTCGGACGAGAAGGCCGTTGAGATGGTGGCTCTGGCTACCGAAACGGGCATGCACAAGTGAGTTGGGATGATAATTGTTGCACGAGAGTGAGAAGGAGAGGGTCAGAAGCCTAGCACGAGCCGGTCAGATGAGAAGGCAGTTGAGATGGTGGCCCTGGCAACTGAAACGGCATGCTCGAGTGAGATGCCCATGTGTATGCATGCATGCTTGACTGAGAAGGACATGCACTAGTGAGTAGAGTGAAAGGAGCATGGATCAATCGAGCTGCGGCGTATGCATGTTGCCTGATGGATGAGCGATCCTTGACGCGCCTCGCTGGCGGTGGGACGAGAAGGTGGTGGAGATGGTGGCTGAGCTGAGACAGGCATGCACAAGTGAGTAGAGAGAGAGAGTAGGCATGGCTTTTACAAGTATCCGGCGCATGTGAAAGGGTTGGAAGCCTGGCATTGGCGGTGGGACGAGAAGGTGGTGGAGATGGTGGCTGAGCTGAGACAGGCATGCACAAGTGAGTTAAGAGATATGAGCTGGGAGGTATGCGCATGCATGGATTGAGCTGACGCGTATGCATGCTCGTAAGCGAGTTGCCCAGTGGAGGTCAACCGCCCAACCGCCCCATGCCCCAGTGGAGGTCACCCTCTCCTTTCTTCAGCCCCATGCACATGGTCGTCTGGCACGACCTGTCCCACCTCTGACACGTCTCAAAGCTCTCTCTCCCTTCCCCCTACCCACCTGTACAGGTTTGAGTGGATGCACATGCGAAAAGATGGGTCACTATTCCCCGTGGAGGTCACCCTCTCCTTCCTGCAGCTCGAGCACAACCGCCCCAGCAGGAGGGACCTGCACAGGATGCTCGTCTCTCTCCTCGCATTCTAACCCCCACCCACCCTCTCTCCCTCACCCCCTCCCTCCCCACGCCCTCCCTCCTTCCCTCCTACCCACCTGTACAGGTTTGAGTGGATGCACATGCGAAAAGATGGGTCACTATTCCCGGTAGAAGTCACCCTCTCTTTTCTCCAGCTAGAGCACAACCGCCCCATGCACATGGTCGTCTGGCACGACCTCTCGGAAATCAAGCGCCAGGCACGGGAGCTGCAGGCAGCTAAGGAGGCGGCTGAGCGGGCGAACCAGGCCAAGAGCCAGTTCCTGGCGAATATGAGCCACGAGATCCGCACCCCCATGAATGGTGAGCCGATTTTTATTAGTTTGACTCAAATCTGTGGTGTAAGTTGTCTGGCGCGCACGACCTGTCGGAGATCAAGTTGACTTTTGAGCCGACTCAAAAGTTTGACTCAAATCTATCTGTGCTGTAAGTTGTCTGGCACGACCTGTCGGAGATCAAGTTGACTTTTGAGCCGACTCAAAAGTTTGACTCAAAGCTATCTGTGCTGTAAGTTGTCTGGCGCGACCTGTCGGAGATCAAGCGCCAAGCGCGATTTTTAGGCGCCCAATCCTTTTTCTGAGGCTCCTCACGACTTGTTCGAAATCAAGCGCCAGGCATGGGAGCTTCAGGCGGCTAAGGAGGCGGCGGAGAGGGCCAAGAGCCAGTTCCTGGCGAATATGATGCGCCATGAGATCCGCACCTCCATGAACTCCCCTCCTTCCTCCCTCCTTCAATCCCTCAGGAGTCGTCAAGGTGGCGGAGGGAGGGAGGGGCGAACAGGAGCTCCTGTTCGGCACGGTCCTAACCGCCACGCAGCGCAGTTAGGTCCAGCGCTCATACCTCGAGTCGAGATCATCCGTTTCTCTGGCGACAATCTCATGAGAATCATCTCGGACGTGCTCGACCTCTCCAAGATCGAATCCAAGAATCTAGCGCTGGAGAGCATCGAGTTGAACATGCACCACTTGCCACCTCACATCCCTTCAACCCCTCCTCCTTCCCCTCCCCTCCTTTCCCTCTCCCTTCCCCCTCCCCCCCCCCTACCCGCAGGTGTGATCGGAGTGGCAGAGCTGCTGCTAGGCACCGACCTCACAGCGGAGCAGCGCTCCTACCTGGAGATCATCCGCTCCTCAGGAGACAACCTCCTTCGAATCATCTCGGACGTGCTTGACCTGTCCAAGATCGAGAGCAAGAACCTGGCGCTGGAGAGCATCGAGTTCAACATGCACCTCCGTGTTGCCTCCCCCCCCCCGTCCCTTCATCCCCCCAGGTGTGATCGGGGTGGCAGAGCTGCTGCTCGGAACGGATCTAACCGCAGAGCAGCGCTCCTACCTCGAGATCATCCGCTCCTCAGGAGACAACCTCCCTCCTCGCTGCTTCCCCCCCCCCCTCACCTCTCCTGCCAGGTGTGATCGGGGTGGCAGAGCTGTTGCTCGGAACGGATCTAACCGCAGAGCAGCGCTCCTACCTCGAGATCATCCGCTCCTCAGGAGACAACCTCCCTCCTCGCTGCTTCCCCCCCCCCCCCACCTCTCCTGCCAGGTGTGATCGGGGTGGCAGAGCTGTTGCTCGGAACGGATCTAACCGCAGAGCAGCGCTCCTACCTCGAGATCATCCGCTCCTCAGGAGACAACCTCCCTCCTCGCTGCTTCCCCCCCCCCCCCCACCTCTCCTGCCAGGTGTGATCGGGGTGGCAGAGCTGTTGCTCGGAACGGATCTAACCGCAGAGCAGCGCTCCTACCTCGAGATCATCCGCTCCTCAGGAGACAACCTCCCTCCTCGCTGCTTCCCCCCCCCCCCCACCTCTCCTGCCAGGTGTGATCGGGGTGGCAGAGCTGTTGCTCGGAACGGATCTAACCGCAGAGCAGCGCTCCTACCTCGAGATCATCCGCTCCTCAGGAGACAACCTCCCTCCTCGCTGCTTCCCCCCCCCCCCCACCTCTCCTGCCAGGTGTGATCGGGGTGGCAGAGCTGTTGCTCGGAACGGATCTAACCGCAGAGCAGCGCTCCTACCTCGAGATCATCCGCTCCTCAGGAGACAACCTCCCTCCTCGCTGCTTCCCCCCCCCCCCCCACCTCTCCTGCCAGGTGTGATCGGGGTGGCAGAGCTGCTGCTCGGAACGGATCTAACCGCAGAGCAGCGCTCCTACCTCGAGATCATCCGCTCCTCAGGAGACAACCTCCCTCCTCGCTGCTTCCCCCCCCCCCCCCACCTCTCCTGCCAGGTGTGATCGGGGTGGCAGAGCTTCTCCTGGGCACAGACCTGACCGCAGAGCAGCGCTCCTACCTGGAGATCATCCGCTCCTCAGGAGACAACCTCCTTCGAATCATCTCGGACGTGCTCGACCTGTCCAAGATCGAATCAAAGAATCTGGCGCTGGAGAGCATCGAGTTCAACATGCACCAGCAGGTGACGGAGGCTCTGGCGCTGCTTGAAGTGGTGGCGAAAGACAAGGGGCTATTCCTGGAGTTGGATATCCATGAGGAGGTGAGACGCGGTGGTAGGAGTTGGCTGGAACGGGTGATATAAGCACATGGAGGGAGGGAGAGCATCGAGTTCAACATGCACCAGCAGGTGACGGAGGCTCTGGCGCTGCTGGAAGTGGTGGCCAAAGACAAGGGGCTCTACCTGGAGCTGGATATTCATGAGGAGGTGAGGATCCGTGATGATTGCTCTAGGTATGAGTGATATCAACATGCTATCGACATGCGAGCAACAGGCTCTGGCGCTGCTGGAAGTGGTGGAGAAAGACAAGGGGCTCTACTCTACCTGGAGCTGGATATCCATGACGAGGTGAGAGGGGGGAATAGGAGACGAGACGAGTCTAGAAGCAGTGGTTGTTGTTTGTGCGGGCGACTGAAATCAACACGTAACAAGCAGGCAGGGTTCAGATAGCGCACTGCTGGAATCTACTTTTGAGGCGCCTCAAAAGTAGATAGGGCACTGCTGGAACTTGAAAGTGGTGGCGAGGGACAAGGGGCTGTTCCTTCCTGGAGCTGGCTGGATATCCACGAGGAGGTGAGAAGCAGTGGTGGGTGCTCTTGGTATGAGTGCTATCAACATGCGCGCTGCTGGAAGTGGTGGCGAGGGACAAGGGGCTGTTCTGTTCCTGGAGCTGGATATCCACGAGGAGGTGAGTGAGGGCATCAAAGAGGAGGTGAACGGGGGTTATAGGAGACGAGATAAAGTGAGAGGATGGAAAGGACAAGGGGCTGTTCTGTTCCTGGAGCTGGATATTCACAAGGAGGTGAGTGAGGAGGTGAAGGGGGGTGGAGACGAGGTGAGAGGGGGTTTGTAAAGTGGGGTGGTGAGGCTGCAATGCAAGTTCTGAGGCACCACCTAACTGACATATGTCCGCCTGCTCCCCTTCCCTTTGCTATATTGGTGCGACTTTTGAGAATTCTCAAAAGTCGGTTTGTAAAGTGGGGTGGTGAGGCTGCAATGCAAGTTCTGAGGCACGCACCACCTAACTGACATACGTCCGCCTGCTCCCCTTCCCTTTGCTCCTCTCAATCTTCGTTCCTGTTCCATCCTGCAGGTGCCAGCGGTGGTGATGGGGGACCCTGTGAGGCTGCGGCAAGTGCTGCTGAACCTCAATTGTTGGCCTTTACCCTCACTCACTTCCCTTCGCGTCACTTCAACTCTCCTTCCTGTTCCATCCTGCAGGTGCCAGCAGTGGTGATGGGGGACCCTGTGAGGCTGCGGCAAGTACTGCTGAACCTCATTTGTTGTCCTTTACCCTCACTTCCCTTCACTCCACTTGAACTCTCGTTCCTGTTCCTCCCTCATCACGTCACTCGCTCAGGTGCCAGCGGTGGTGATGGGGGACCCTGTGAGGCTGCGGCAAGTACTGCTGAACCTCAGTTGTTGGCCTTCACCCTCACGTCTCCTCTTTGAGCCCCCTTCCATTGTTCTCCGTCTCACTCATCACGTCACTCCTGCAGGTGCCGGCGGTGGTGATGGGGGACCCTGTGAGGCTGCGGCAAGTCCTGCTGAACCTCATTTCCAACTCCATCAAGTTCACTGAAACGTGAGTTGAGGCGCCTGTAAATCACGGTCACTGAGACGGGCAGGCAGGGCTGGGGGGGTGGAGGAGTCGAGGAGGGAGAACAGCAGGGAAGAGGTCTCACGCTCAGTGAATCAATTCTATAGAAGCGTCCACACATACTCATTCTATTCCTCCATGCCCCCTTCTCTCCCCAGTGGTGGAATCACAGTGATTCTGCGCCTAGCCACGCAGGTAGAGCTGGGGGAGGTGGAGGAGGCGAGGAGGGAGAGCAGCAAGTAAGAGGCGGCAATCATCATACTCCATGCACACTCTCTCTTCCTCCTTGTTCTCTCCCTCTCCTCCCTTCCATTCCCAGTGGCGGCATCACTGTGATTCTGCGCCTAGCCACGCATGCAGAGCTGGGGGAGGTGGAGGAGGCGAGGAGGGAGAGCAGCAAGTGTATGAGCGTGCAGCGGGGGGACGGGGGCGAGAGCAAGGAGAAGGGGGAGGGCAGCTCTGACAACCTGTTGACATCAGCAGAGGGAGGAGCAGGAGTAGGAGGAGGAAAGACAGGTGGTGGTGGTGGTGGTGGTGGTGGTTCAGGAGGGAAGGGTGAGAAGGGTGAGAAGGGAGAGAAGGGAGATAACGGAGCAAAGGGAGCGGTGAGAAGGAGAGAAGCAGCAGCAGAGTCCGAGGGGGGAGGGAAGCCAGAGAAGGTGGGGAAAGAAGCAGCAGAGGAGCAGCAGCAGCAGAGTGTGGTGGTGCGGTTTGAGGTGCGGGACACGGGAGTGGGCATGGACGAGGCGGCCAAGGGGCGGCTCTTCAAGGCGTTCTCCCAGGCGGACAACTCCACCAGCCGCAGATATGGCGGCACGGGGCTGGGGCTCGCCATTTGCAAAAGCCTTTGTTTCTTGATGGGGGGAGACATTGGCATGCACAGCCAGGTGAGTGTGTGTGTTTGAGAGAGGGAGAGGGGAGTGGGAATGGACTCAATTCAACGGCCAACAAGGGGCGGTTGTTCAAGGCGTTCTCCCAGGCGGACAACTCCACGAGTCGCCGCTGCGGCGGCACGGGGCTGGGGCTCGCGATTTGCAAGAGCTTGTGCTTCTTGATGGGGGGGGATATCGGCATGCACAGCCAGGTGAGGGGGTTTTTATCAAAGGGGGGAAGGGGAAAAAGGGGGAGGGATAAGTGTGGGAGGGGGGAATGAGGGGCTGGGGCTCGCAATTTGCAAGAGCCTGTGCTTCCTCATGGGGGGAGATATCGGCATGGACAGCCAGGTGAGAGGAGGGGAGGGGTGGGGGAGGGGTGGGGAGAGGGGGAGAAGGAGGCGAGACGGTGGTGGTTCGGTGTGGACTTTTGAGTCGACTCAAAAGTCAGCTCATGAGTTTTGAGGCGCCTCAAAAGTCGCCACATGAGTCGACTCAAAAGTCAGCTCATGAGAGGGGGGGGAGAAGGGGGCGAGAAGGGGGCGAGAAGGGGGCGAGACGGTGGTGGTTCGGTGTGGTCGGTCCGGCACCAAACTCAAATCCCTCGCCTCCCTCCCCTCCCATTCCCATTGTCCGCTCCGCCTCCTCCACCTTGACCAGGTGGGTGAGGGGTCGACCTTTTTCTTCTACGTGAGGATGCAACGCGTGATGTGAACCCCAAGGGGAGCCCCAAGCAGGCAGGCTGGCAGGGAGTGTGCCACGAGCAGCGATGCAAACCCTGGCCTATTCCTTCTCTCCCCTCCAATCCCTCCCTCAATCAGGTGGGTGGGAGAAGGGTCAACGTTTTTCTTCTACCCCAGCAGGCAGGCTGGCAGGGGAGTGTGCCACGAGCAGCGATGCAAACCCCAAACTTTTCCTTCTCTCCCCTCTAATGTCTCCCTCAATCAGGTGGGAGAAGGGTCGACGTTTTTCTTCTACGTGAGGATGCAACGCGTGATGTGAACCCCAGGGAGAGCGCGAAGCCGGCAGGGGAGAGTGCCACGAGCAGCGATGCGGAGCCGACTGGACTCTAATTCCCTCCCTCCCTTCCTCTCCCCCTCCCTTCCTCAACCCCCTCCTCTTGACCAGGTGGGAGAGGGGTCGACGTTTTCCTTCTACGTGAGGATGCAGCGGGTGAACCCCAAGGAGAGCCCCAAGCCGGCAGGGGAGAGTGCCACGAGCAGCAATTCAACCCTCAAACAATCCCTTCACTCCATCATTTTCCCTTCTAACAGGTGGGAGAGGGGTCGACGTTTTTCTTCTACGTGAGAATGCAGCGCGTGAACCCCAAGGAGAGCGCCAAGCCGGCAGGGGAGAGTGCCACGAGCAGCGATGCAGAGCCGCTGTGGGTGCAGCTGCAGCACATACGCGTTCTGGTGGCAGAGGTGAGGAGAGGAGGGTGTGATTGTTAGGGTTGTGACTGTATGGGTTGTTAGGGGTTGTGACTGTAGGGGTTGTGGCTCTAGGGGTTGTTGTCACATCACGAGGGGGGTGTTGCCACGAGCAGCGATGCGGAGCCGCTGTGGGTGCAGCTGCAGCACATACGCGTGTTGGTGGCAGAGGTGAGGAGAGGAGGGAGTGATTGTATGTGGTGTGGTCACACTGTGGTGGATGTATCTGTTGCAATGTGCAAGTGGGTGTGGTGCGTGTGGTTGTTGTATAGCTTGTCACAGTCACAAGACAGTGGAGAGTGCCACGAGCAGCGATGCGGAGCCACTGTGGGTGCAGCTGTGGGTGCAGCTGCAGCACATTCGCGTTCTGGTGGCCGAGGTGAGAAGAGGTGTGACTCTAGTTCGTGAATGTATGGGGTGTGACTCTAGTTTGTTAATGTATGGGGTGTGACTGTAGGGGTTAACTGTCTTAGTAGCAACGCAAGCTGGCAGGGGAGAGCCCCAAGGTGGCAGGGGAGAGTGTGAGATCTGTTGCCATGTGGAGAAACCCACCCATTCCCCCTTCGCCCCACCCTCACCAGTACAACAAGGTGAACCAGATGGTGGACTCAAATACGACGTGGTTGAGAATGGCAGGCTGACTTGCTGTGAGAGAGGCTCACTCCCCTTTTCCCCCAAACCACCCATTTCCTTCCCCCATTCCCCGCCCGCGCACCCCCCCTCACTTCCCCTAACCCCCCCAGGATAACAAGGTGAATCAGATGGTAGCGACGCGCATGCTGCACAACCTGGGGCTCAAATACGATGTGGTGGAGAATGGCAGGCTGGATTGCCTGGCCGTGCAGGCTTGCTGTGAGAGAGTCTCACTCCCTCCCAACCCACCCCTCTGCCCATCCCCCCAACCCACCTGCCACCAGGACAACAAAGTGAACCAGATGGTAGCAACGCGCATGCTGCACAACCTGGGGCTCAAATACGATGTGGTGGAGAATGGCAGGCTGGATTGCCTGGCCGTGCAGGCTTGCTGTGAGAGAGTCTCACTCCCTCCCAACCCACCCCTCTGCCCATCCCCCCAACCCACCTGCCACCAGGACAACAAAGTGAACCAGATGGTAGCAACGCGCATGCTGCACAACCTGGGGCTCAAATACGATGTGGTGGAGAATGGCAGGCTGGATTGCCTGGCCGTGCAGGCTTGCTGTGAGAGAGTCTCACTCCCTCCCAACCCACCCCTCTGCCCATCCCCCCAACCCACCTGCCACCAGGACAACAAAGTGAACCAGATGGTAGCAACGCGCATGCTGCACAACCTGGGCCTCAAATACGACGTGGTGGAGAATGGCAGACTGGCCGTGCAGGCGTGTGCTGACCGGCACTACGATGTGGTGCTCATGGTGGGTGGTGATGGTGATGGGGGAGTGTTTGTAGCACGTGCGCATGGAATGAGGGGAGAATGGGAGGCTGGCGGTGCAGGCATGTACCGACAGACACTACGATGTGGTGCTCATGGTGGGTGGTGATGGTGGTGGGTGGTGAGTGGTGGGGGGTGGTGATGGCAGCCGTGTGTTGGGGGCCATGCTGCACAACCTGGGGCTCAAATACGACGTGGTGGAGAACGGCGGGCTGGCGGTGCAGGCGTGTGCTGACAGGCACTACGACGTGGTGCTCATGGTGAGAGGAGGGGGTGATGGGGGAGTGATTGTAGCAAGTGCCCGTGGTATGAGGGGAGAATGGTAGGCTGGCTGTGCAGGCATGTGCTGGCCGGAACTACGATGTGGTGCTCATGGTGGGAAAAGGCAATCCCTGTAGCAAAGCATATTCCATGGTTTGTGCAGTGCTTTCTCAGGGGAAATGCATGTGCATACTAAGATGGTGATGGTGACGGTGATGGTGATGCATACTAAGATGGTGATGGTGACGGTGATGGTGATGGTGATGGTGATGGTGATGGTGATGGTGATGGTGAGAGAATGATAGTACGATGCTATGTGCAATCACAATAACAGGATGCGAGAGCGAGCGAGCACTTCATTCCCCTTGACCTTTGAAAACGATGTTCTTCCATTGTGTACCCTCCACTCCCCTCCACCCCCCTCCACCCCCCTCCACCCCCCTCCATCCCCCTCCACCCCCCTCCACCCCCGTCCCTCCCCCACAGGACTGCCACATGCCTGAGATGGACGGCTATGAAGCCACCCGCAACATACGGGCCATGGAGGAGGAGAGACTCGCTGCCTATGCTGCTGCTTGTGCTGGTACTGTTGCTCCTCCTAATTCCTTCTCGTCAACGCCTTCCCCTCCCTCCCCTCTCCCTCCTCCCCACCAGGACTGCCACATGCCTGAGATGGACGGGTATGAAGCCACCCGCCACATACGCGCTATGGAAGAGGAGAGACTCGCTGCCTACGCTGCTGCTGGTGGTGGCGGTGCTGCTGCTGCTGCTGCTGCTGCTGGGCCTAACTCCTACCTCCTCCCCTGTTCCCTCCCTCCCCCCCCAGGACTTTCACATGCCTGAGATGGACGGGTATGAAGCCACCCGCAACATACGGGCCATGGAAGAGGAGAGACTCGCTGCCTATGCTGCTGCTGCTTCTGCTCTTCCTAACACCTTCCCCTTCCCCACCCCCCTCCCCCACAGGACTGCCACATGCCTGAGATGGACGGGTATGAAGCCACCCGCCACATACGCGCTATGGAAGAGGAGAGACTCGCTGCCTACGCTGCTGCTGCTGGTGGCGGTGCTGCTGCTGCTGCTGCTGCTGCTGGGCCTAACTCCTACCTCCTCCCCTGTTCCCTCCCTCCCCCCCCAGGACTTTCACATGCCTGAGATGGACGGGTATGAAGCCACCCGCAACATACGGGCCATGGAAGAGGAGAGACTCGCTGCCTATGCTGCTGCTGCTGCTGCTCTTCCTAACACCTTCCCCTTCCCCACCCCCCTCCCCCACAGGACTGCCACATGCCTGAGATGGACGGGTATGAAGCCACCCGCCACATACGGGCCATGGAGGAGGAGAGACTCGCTGCCTATGCTGCTGCTGGTGGTGCTGCCACTAGTGGCAGGGGCAGCAGTGGTGGTGGTGGGTACGCAAGGAGTGGCAGCAGGGGGGGCTACGGCAGCAGCACAGACGGAGACATGAGTGAAGCGAGCTCACCCAGCCATCCCCACAGCAGTAGCAGCTCCCGCACCCGCCGTTCCCACCGGCCGCGCCGGACGTTCATTGTGGCGCTTACCGCATCGGCTCTTAGCGAGGATAAAGACTCGTGCATGGCAGCGGGAATGGACCATTACTTAGCTAAGCCCATTCGGCCACGGGACCTAGAGAGAGTGATAAGAGAGGGGATGGTGAAGAGGAGGAGAGAGTCTATTAGTGAGGAGGTAGGGTGTGAGGGGAGTGAGGGGTCATTGTCACCACAGATGGCTTATAAAGGGGATGAGGGCCCGGTGTCCCCTCTTTATAAGGGCTCTGAGAGGGGTGGAAGGGCGGTATCGCCTTATAGAGGGGGTTATGAAGCGGGGGAGAGGCCTTTGTCTCCTCTGACGTTCAAGCAGCGGCAGGAGCGGGGAGTGCAGGAGCGGGGAGAGCAGGAGCGGCCACAGCAGCGGCCACAGCAGCAGCAGCAACAGGAGCAGGAGCAGAGGGGTCAACACAGAAGGGATGAGGGGAGAGGGAGTGGGGGGAGAGGAGCAGGGAAGAGTTCTATAAGGGGAGGGATGGCAGGTGGGGAGGGTAGGGATCAAGGCAGGGAGGGGAGAGGCGAGAGGGGAGAAGGGAGGGGAGAAGGGAGAGGAGGAAGCAAGCTCCCTCCGACCGTCCCAGTTATTGGCGGGAGCGCTGGATATTCAGGTGAAAAATCAGGTGGGTATTCAGGTGGGGGAGGTTTGAAACATGGTGTTGGTGGTGGTGGTGTGGGGTTCGGTCCTAGTCCGTCCTTTGGTGCTTGGGGCGGGCGAGACGTGCGAGAGTGGGGAGAGGGGCAGGGAGGCCAAGGGCCGGCACTTGATCCATTCAGAGGAGGAAACGAGGAAGGGGGGGAGGAGGAAGAGGAGGAGGAGGAGGAAGAGGAGGAGGAGGAGGAGGAGGAGGAGGAGGAGGAGGAGGAGGAGGAGGAGGAGGAGGAGGAGGAGGAGGAGGAGGAGGAGGAGGAGGAGGAGGAGGAGGAGGAAGAAATGGTAGAGGCGCCTAAGAAACCAATGGGTTTCGCTCCTAGTCCGTCCTTTGGTGCTTGGGGAGGGACGCCTAGTGTACAGGGTCTGAGAGTAGAAGTATCTACTGAGGGAGAGCAGGATACCATGCTCGAAAGCCCTCCTATGCAGCAACAGCAGAAGCAGCAGCAGCAGCAGCAGAAAAACCAGCACCAGCAACAGCAGCAACATCAGCAGCGGCGGCAGCAGCAACAGCAGCAGCAGCCACTACCCTCGCCTAGAAAGAGCCCCCACCAACAGCAACACCACCCCCTCCCTCCTCACTCCTCTCCCCATTCCGCCTCTGCTTCTGCCGCCACTCGTCACGCCCCTCCTCCTTCCCCCAAACGACCACCAAACCAGCAGGCTCCCTTGCTCTCCTCTTCTAAGCAAGCTGGGGGCCAAACCTCCCGGCCAGGTTCGGGAAGAGGAGGTTCGGGAACAGCGGAGCCGCTGCGGTCTCCCAGGCCCGGCCGGTCCACTCCTGAGGGACAGGGTTGGGGAAGGCCGAGTCCACGGGGTGGGTATGGAGGGGTGCAGAGCGGTGACGATGGGTCGAGTGCGGGGTCCCCTTCGAGTGTTCGGTCGTGGGGGAGGGGTGGAGGAGAAGGAGGGTGGGGGGAGGGGGCCGGTGTTGGTGAAAGAGCGAGGGAGAACGGGAGGGAAGGGGGAAGGGAGAGGGAGGGAGATATGGAAAGGGAGAGGGTGAGAGATAGGGAAAGGGAAATGGAGCGGGAGCGTGAGAGAGAGCTGGGAGAAGAGTCTGATACAGGGAGTGTGGTGGTGAAGGGGGATGGGTGGAGTGCAGGCGAGAGACTGAGTGATGTTGAGGAAAGGGATGGGGAGTGGGATGAGGGAAGGGATTGGGCGAGGGGGAATAAAGGTGAGAGGGGGGATGAACGAGAGAGGGAGCGAGAGAGGGGGCGAGAGAGGGAGGAAGAGAAGGAAGAGGAGGAAGAGGAGGAAGTGGAGGAAGAAGATATGGTAGGTGTTCCTGAACCAAGACGAAGCAGAACAGCAGGGGCGAGTGAAAACAGGCAAATGGGAGAAGAGAGAGATGTTTGGGGAGAGCGTGAAACAGGGGGAGTAGGAGCGAGAGGATGGGATGGTGGGAGACACGGGAGGAGAGGGAGCGGTGGAGAGGGTTATGGGGAGGTGGGGCGCGGTGAGGTGGAGGTGGAGGAGACAAGGAGAAGCAGCACGATGGGGAGAGTAGAGGCGATGAAAATGAGAGGCGAGAAGGGGAGAGGTGAGAAGGGGAAGGGCCGGGACGGGAGAAGTGTGTGGGGAGGGGAAGAAGGGTGGGAGGAGGAGAGGGAGGAGGCGAAGGATGGGAGGAGGGGAAGGCGGAGCAGTTTGGATGGAGGGGAGGTTAGCAGGATGGATAGTAATAGCAGGGATGTATTTGGTAGTGGAGAGAACAGAAGACCTGCTATTTCTGGGCAGAAACATGACTATGAGCAGCAGTATGGGGATGAGCATGGTAGCAGCACAACAAGACAAAACGCCCCAACTGCAAGAAGAGACTCGTGGGATTCGCAAGACAGTGGGAGAGGGGGAGGGGGGGGGGGAGGGGGAGGGGGAGGGGGAGCAGGAGGGGGAGCGGGACGGGGGAGTGTGAGAGGAGGAGGGCCAGAGACGGAGGATGAGAGGATGATTCGAGAGTTTGCGCTAGCAGCGCTGACGTCCAAAGGGAGGGGTATGGCCGTGGGGAGGAATTTGGGTCCGAGTGTTGTCGCCCCCACTCGTCCCCTTCTTGGTGCTCCCTCTTCAAGTGCTGTTGCGGCCGGTTCTGCCGGTTCTGGTGCTGGTGCTGGTGCTGGTAATGCTGGTGGTGCTCGTATCACAGCGCCCTCGATAGAGGAGGTGTGGGAGAGAATAAAATCTCCCACGGCGGCAACAGCTGCAGCCGCAGAAGCAGCTGCAGCAGCAGGAGCAGGAGGAGGAGGAGGAGGGGGAGGGGGAGGGGGAGGGGGAGGGGGAGGGGGAGGGGGAGGAGGAGGAGGAGGAGGGAGAGGGAGAGGGATGGGAGGAGGGGGAGGAAGGGGGAGGGGAGCTGAGGGGGGAGGCAGGGGGGCAGCAGGAGGGGGTGGGGGGCGGAGAACAGCAGTAGGGGGAAGGGGGGGCCTGTCAGGGGGGAGAGGAGTAGGGGTGGGGGGAGCAGTGGGAAGGGGAGGAGGGGCAGGTGGGGCAGGAGGGAGGGGGGCAGGGGGAAGGGGAAGGGGGGATGCGTTCGGAGGGGAAGGGCGGGGGGGAGGAGGGGGAGGAGGAAGAGGGGGAGGAGGAGGGGAAGGGGGAGGAGGGGGAGGGGGAAGAGGGGAAGGGGGAGGGAGAGGGGAAGGGGGAGGGAGAGGGGAAGGGGGAGGGAGAGGGGAAGGGGGAGGGGGAGGGGAAGGGGGAGGGAGAGGGGAAGGGGGAGGGAGAGGGGAAGGGGGAAGCGGCAGAGGTACTGTAGCAGTAGCAATGAAGCCTCCGCACAGAAGAACTCCATCCAACGGCTCGGATCAGGAGTCACGTAATCAAGGGCCAGGATCGACTGGGCCTCAGAATAGACGGCTGGGAATGGGCAAATCGCCAATCAAGATCCCCCCCAGGCCCACAGGGGGGTTTGAAGGGTGGGGAGGCGGGGGAGGAAGGGGGGCAGGAGTAGGAGGGGGAAGAAGTCCTGGTTTCAGCCCCAAACCACCAGTAGCTGCTGCCACCACTGCCAACACCGCCACCGCCACCAGCACCACCAATAGTAGCAGCAGTGCTGGTGCTGGTGTGAGTGGCATTAGCAGAAGTGACTCTAAGGAGGGGCGAAAGGTGGGGAATGGTGGTGGGAGTGGGAGGGAACAAGGGGTCAAAGAGCAAGGGGTAGGGCGAGGTTCAGAGAGTGAGTTTTCTGGGTATGGGGTGGGTAGGGAGGGTAGAGACGGTAGAGAGGGTAGAGAGGGAATGACGAGAGGTGGTGAGCCAGGTGAGGGGAGCAAAGGGAGCAGCAGGGGTAGTGGGGGTGGAAGGGGAGGAGAAAGCAGGGGAGCAGAGGGGAGGCGGCAAGGAGAGAGTGGTGCAGAGCGGTGGAGAGGGGAGAGGGAAGAGCGGGGCGAGGAGGGAAGAGGAGGCGAGGTGTCCCGTTCACGAGAGGAGGGTAGAGAGGCGAGGAAGGGAAGAGAGGGGGGAGAGGGGCGAGATGGGAGAGAGGGGGCAGACAGAAGAGAGGGGAGCGAGGGAAAAGAGAGGAGAGGAACGGAGCTTTCTCGAGCAGGTGGGGAGGGATCCCGAGGAGGACGGGAGGTAGCTCGGCCGTTAGAGCGCAGTACGAGCATGGAGCCACTGTTGCTGCAGCAGCAGCAGCAGAGGCGCACAGGGTCAGAGCAGAAAGCAGCTCAGGACCTGCGCATGTGGATTGAACGAGCGCATAACCCGCAAGTGGATAAATGGATATCCCAGGTGAGAACAGAGAGTGGTGTGTGGATCTCCCATGTGAGGGTAGTTAGTGACTTGCACGGGTGGACGTCTTCATTCGTGCACTTTCATCTGCCTGCCACATCCCCCCGTTCTGCAGGTCGAGGCAAACAGCACGCCGCCCAGACATGCAGCGCACAAGAAGACAAGGAGCGAGGTGCCGGCCTTTTTGCCACCCCTCTCCTCCAGCCCGGGCGGCGCGGGTTCCCTGCGCCGCTTGCAGAGCTCTCCCCCCATATCCCCAGGTAATAGCCCCCATAATAGCCCTGATAACAAGGGAAACCGTAGGGTAAATAGTAGCAGGAACCACGGAGGTGGCGGTGGTGAGGGAGATTCATGGGCTCGTAGGAGGGGTGAGTTTAATGAAGGTGGTGATGAGGAGGATTACCAGTTTGTGGGTCAGCAGAGGAGCAAGTCTGATGGAAATTCGTCCATGAAAGCAGCACGTGAAGCAGAGCGGATGCGAGAGGCTGATGGGTACAGAGGCGGTGGAGGACGAGGACGAGCTAAATATGAATATGACTAATTTAAGGCTAATTTTAATATGTATGTTAGCAAAGACTGTGCACTAGTTGCAGATTATGCACTAATTTAATTGTATATGTACAGGTTGCAATGATGTTCAAGAGCGGCTGAGAGGACATGCCCAGAGAAATCTAGTACCGTACATGCTCATGCTATGTGAACATAATTGGTTCAAGCAAAAAATATATAAACTGTAATATGAACCAGGTCCAACTGTAATATGAACCAAGTGTAATATAATTCAGGCTGCTATAAGGCATCGCTGTTGCATCAATTGCACAAGCGAATTTTCGCGACAACAAAACTCGTGATTGGCTAGCGACAGCTTGTGGTAGCCAGAAAAGCTAGCTGCTTTGCTTCCCATCTCTTCGCCGCAGCCACCAAACTGCAGCCCACCGGATAACGCTTCCATCCGACCAGGGCATCTCCGATGCCACGTGGCACGAGCAAACCACACGAAAGCCGTCCAACTTGTTTCCACCTGGCACATCGACGGTGAGATCTGTGCTATTCACCTCCCAGCCATCACAGATACCAGACCAAAAGTCCCGCGCCATCTTTCCGCCACTCCCTTGAGATTTCCTTTTCCTAGCCAGCGCCGTCCCTCTTTCCCGCAGTTCTCCGCGCACCCTCTGATTTCTGCTGCGCCAGTACGGTATTCTCGAGGAACATCCCCCGCGCGGTACTGCATTCCGCGCGCCATTAGGTTTTATTTCCGCAAGTTCCGCTCTGCACCTGGAACCTCCTCCCTCCCAAGGTTCTGATTTTTCTCTCATCTCTCCCAAGTCTCTCTAGCTCCATTCCGCACTCAGAAGCTGTTTCCAGCTTCGCTAGACTGGTTCCTTGTCTTGTGAACCTTTTCCCAAGACGCCATGGCTGCCGCTATGTCCTGGAGCACCAAGCTTGCGTGCCCTTCTTTTGAGGGTCTGTCCAGCCGGAGCCTGCCTTCTAGCCGGGTGAACGCTGACTCCAATGTGGAGCTTAAGACTAAGGGCGCGGAGGGTGCCCCCCGCACCACCTGCTCGCTGAAGGCGATGCGCGACCGTATCGAGTCGGTTAAGAACACCCAGAAGATTACCGATGCGATGAAGCTCGTCGCTGCCGCGAAGGTGCGCAGGGCTCAGGAGGCCGTCGTCAACGGCCGTCCTTTCTCGGAAAACCTCGTTAAGGTGCTTTACAACGTTAACGAGCAGCTCCAGAACGAGGACGTTGACATTCCCCTCACCGAGGTCCGTCCCGTGAAGAAGGTCGCCATCGTCGTTAACACCGGCGACCGCGGTCTCTGCGGTGGCTTCAACAACTACGTCCTCAAGAAGGCCGAGGCTCGTGTGGCTGAGCTGACGAAGCTGGGTGTGGCTTACACCATCGTGTCCATCGGCAAGAAGGGTAACGCCTTCTTCAAGAGGCGTCCCCAGTACGCCGTTGACAGGTACCTCGAGGTCGGCGCTGCTCCCACCACCAAGGAGGCCCAGGCCATCGCCGACGAGATCTTCTCCCTGTTCGTGTCGGAGGAGGTTGACAAGGTCGAGCTGATCTACACCAAGTTCGTGTCCCTGATCAAGTCCGACCCTGTGATCCACACTCTCCTGCCTCTCTCCCCCGCCGGCGAGGTCTGCGACATCAACGGCATCTGCGTCGACGCTGCTGAGGACGAGCTGTTCAGGCTGACGACCAAGGATGGCAAGTTCGCCGTCGAGCGCGAGACTATCAGGACCGCGACTCCCGAGTTCACCGGCGTGCTAGGGTTTGAGCAGGAGCCTGTGCAGATCCTCGACGCTCTGCTCCCGCTTTACCTGAACAGTCAGATTCTCCGTGCTCTGCAAGAGTCCCTTGCCAGCGAGCTCGCTGCTCGTATGAATGCCATGAGTAACGCCAGCGATAACGCCAAGGAGCTGAAGAAGAACCTCAACCTGACTTACAACAGGCGGAGGCAAGCCAAGATTACTGGCGAGCTGATTGAGATTATTTCCGGTTCCAGCGCTTAAGTTTCGGTTCACGACGTGTATGCTGGGGTAGAGAAGCTGTCATGAAGCGTTCGTTGTTATTAATTCACCTTGTGATATCAAACCATTTGTCGACAATATCTTCTCAATTGTGTTTAATTGCTATTTAGACTGTTTAACGTTCTCCTGCAGATGCTAGACAACGTGTGGATCTTTCACATTACAGAACGCCTTTGTCTGGTGACAGCCCCTTGATCCTACCAGGCCAGAAACCTGGGTGTCCTGATTCAGCATGGACATCTCAAAACAACATGATCAATAGGCAGTAGAATCTCGAAACCGCTGAAGGTGGGGTTGCCTAAACTAAATTGACGAGATTGTAGTTGCTAGGAGAGAATCAAAGACTGGATTTCAGAGGTTGCTATTAGACCAAGCTTGGAAAGATGGCTGTAAGTAACAGAAAGATGGTTGTTTATTTCTTTGAAATGCTTCAGTCGATACGCAGAATACCTTGGGTTAGAATACCTTAGTGTCAGAAGAGGACCGTGAAATGTGGCTGACAGAGATTGTTTTGCGTTTCAGAACGGTTTAGTTTTGTTCCAGCACGTTCGGGTAGGGTTTTGAGCTAAAGGTGGCATTTCCTCCAGTCCCCTTCAGCTTCGTTTTCTCGCCTATCCATTCCCTTCTAGAAGTTCTCCCGCGTTACGCCACGTCAACTCACCACACGTAGCGCCTTCCCCCGCGAGAGGGCTCGCTTCGTTAAAATATCTCCGCCATCCCTGTCATTCTTTCTCCGTTGCCCCTGCGTTCGTTGTAATCACACCGATCATGCTGGTTCACGGCCTCTCCCCCTCGCTACGGCTCGCTTCAGTCCCCAATGCAGTCGCTTCCCTCCCCCTTCCCCCAATCTCCGCGTTTCCTGCGCCCGCGCGCCTCTGTAATCCCGCCTTTCAGCTTCCGCGCATGACCCCGGCGCAATCGTTGCGCCCAGGCTCCCCACAGAAGCTAGTTTTCCGCCAAACCCGCGTGTTACCGCGCGCAAGCGCAAGCGTGGAGCCGCCGAAAGCGCCAAAAGGAGGATCCGCAGAAGGCGCAAACGCAGGCGCAGGCGCGGAAGCAAATAAGCCGGCGGTGGCTCCGCAGGCGCCCGCGGGGGAGGCGGTAGCGGGGGGCGCGGTTGCGGCGGAAGGGGAGGAGGGGCGGCTTCTGGGGCAGGCGACGACTGCGGGAATTTTCCTCCTATGGGCGGGGCTGATCGCGTATGGCGCGTTTTTTGCGCCCCATCAGACGCCAGTACGTGGCAGCTTATCAGTGGCTGGTGTAGCCAGGAGCTGAGCGATTTAGCAGCAGCAGCTTGTTACCTTCCCTCCTCTCCCGTCCCATCCTCTCCTCTCCCCTCCCATCCTCTCCTCTCCCCTCCCATCCTCTCCTCTCCCCACCCGCCACCCTACCGCGATCAGTAATTTCTGGAGGGGAGACGATGGCTTCGTGACGAACCAGGTGCACGTGGCTCTCCTCATCCCCCCTTGTTCCCCTGCTCTTCCCCTTCCCTTCCCCTTGCCTCGCCCATCCCCTCTTTGCCCCCCTCCCTTCCCCTCCCCTCTTACAGTACCGCGATCAGTACTTTTTGGAAAAGCTTCTGAACCTGAGGGGCGACGATGGGTTCGTGATGAACCAGGTGCTCGTGTTACTCTCCCCATCCGCCACATCCCATCCCCAACCCTCCCCCTCCCCCCGCCCCTCCCCTCCCCCCTTCTTCCCCCCCCCCACAGTACCGCGATCAGTACTTCCTGGAGAAGCTGCTCAACCTGAAAGGCGACGATGGCTTCGTGATGAACCAGGTGCTCGTGGTGCTGTGGAACCTCATGGGCGTCATGCCGGGCATATACGCTGCAACACTCGTGCCCGCTTCTCGCACGTGAGTGTACATGCAGCCCTTACTGCCACTCGTGATGAACCAACCAGGTGCTCGTGGCGCTCTGGAACCTCATGGGGGTGATGCCGGGCATCTACGCTGCTACGCTCGTGCCTGCCTCTCGCACGTATGTGAATGGGGGTAGGAGGAAGGGGAGGGAAGGTTAGGTACAAGCTGCCATTTGGGTTCGTGATGAACCAGGTGCTCGTGGCCTTGTGGAACCTCATGGGCGTCATGCCGGGCATCTACGCTGCAACACTCGTGCCCGCTTCTCGCACGTACGTAAAGGGTTGCAATAGAGCGTTCCATATGGTCACCCGGGTTCGAGACGAACCAACCAGGTGTGTGCTCGTGGCGCTCTGGAACCTCATGGGCGTCATGCCGGGCATATACGCCGCAACGCTCGTGCCCGCTTCTCGCACGTACGTACACGAGGGGTGCTCAGGTTGCAATGGAGTCTCCCTCACTGCCAGTCAGGTTCGTGATGGACCAACCAGGTGCTCGTGTCCCTCTGGAACCTCATGGGGGTGCTCGCAACACCAGTCCCTGCTTCTCGCACGTGAGTGTACATGCAGCCCTTACTGCCATTCGTGATGAACCAACCAGGTGCTCGTGGCCCTTCCTCCTCGCCTCATTCTTCGCTGGAGCCTTCGCCCTGCTGCCCTTCTCTGCTCTCTGGACGTGTGGGGTTCCTAATACCGACCTTTCCCTCATCTCTCCCCTGCACCCCCCCCAGCAATCGCACCACCATCCCAGCGTGGCCCTTCCTCCTCGCCTCATTCTTCGCAGGGGCGTTCGCCCTGATGCCCTTATTCGCCCTGTTGCCCTTAGTCGCTCTGCTCACCCCCTCTTTTCGTCCCCTTCTCACCCCCTCTGCCCCTTGCACCCCTCCAGCAATCGCACCACCATCCCAGCGTGGCCCTTCCTCCTCGCCTCGTTCTTTGCAGAGCTGTTCGCCCTGCTGCCCTTCTTTGCCCTTTGGACCCTTGGTGTTCCCGACAGCTATTTCCCCCTTCTCTCCCATTGTATCATCCCCTCCCGTCTCACATTCCCCCAGCAATCGCACCACCATCCCAGCGTGGCCCTTCCTCCTCGCCTCATTCTTCGCAGGGGCGTTCGCCCTGATGCCATTCTCTCTCCTTCTGTAAACGCCTGGAAAATCCAGCAGCCATCGTTTCCCATCTTCCCCTTGCTCACCTCCTCATTTCCTCCCTTTTCCCCACCCCCCACTCCCCTCCTCCCCCCAGCAATCGCACCACCATCCCAGCGTGGCCCTTCCTCCTCGCCTCGTTCTTTGCAGAGCTGTTCGCCCTGCTGCCCTTCTTTGCCCTTTGGACCCTTGGTGTTCCCGACAGCTATTTCCCCCTTCTCTCCCATTGCATCATCCCCTCCCGTCTCACATTCCCCCAGCAATCGCACCACCATCCCAGCGTGGCCCTTCCTCCTCGCCTCATTCTTCGCAGGGGCGTTCGCCCTGATGCCATTCTCTCTCCTTCTGTAAACGCCTGGAAAATCCAGCAGCCATCGTTTCCCATCTTCCCCTTGCTCACCTCCTCGTTTCCTCCCTTTTCCCCACCCCCCACTCCCCTCCTCCCCCCAGCAATCGCACCACCATCCCAGCGTGGCCCTTCCTCCTCGCCTCATTCTTCGCAGGGGCCTTCGCCCTGATGCCCTTCTTTGCCCTCTGGACGCCCGGGAAGGCAGCAGTACCCACGGAGGAGGAGAGGGGGAAAGTGGGGCTGCGGGTGCTGGAGTCCAAGATAACCAGCGCGGTGAGTTTAGTTCTCATCCCTTCTCCTGTTTGCCTGTCGTCGCCTCTTCGCCCTGCTGCCCTTCTTTGCCCTCTGGACGCCCGGAGCAGCAGCAGTACCCACGGAGGAGGAGAGGGGGAAAGTGGGGCTGCGAGTGCTCGAGTCCAAGATAACCAGTGCGGTGAGTCTTAAGAAGGTGACCTGTAGTGGGAGGGGATGAGAGTCACCAGCGCCCGGAGCAGCAGCAGTACCAACCGAGGAGGAGAGGGGGAAAGTGGGGCTGCGAGTTCTCGAGTCCAAGATAACCAGTGCGGTGAGTTCAGTTCAAGCAATGAGGCTCATTCTTTACACTCATTCGGGAGCAGCAGCAGTACCCACGGAGGAGGAGAGGGGGAAAGTGGGACTGCGAGTGCTTGAGTCCAAGATAACCAGCGCGGTGAGTCTGTTTCTTAGCCCTCTTCCTCTTCGCTCTGCTGCCCTCTACTCGCTCTGGACACCTGGAGCAGCAGCAGTGCCCTCGGATCGGAGGAGGAGAGGGGGAAAGTGGGGCTGCGGGTGCTCGAATCCAAGATCACCAGCGCGGTGAGTCTGGTGCTCCGCCCCTCTGCTGTTGCTTGTTTGCCCTTCGTCGCCTCTGCTGCCCCTCTTTGCCCTCTGGACACCTGGAGCAGCAGCAGTACCCACCGAGGAGGAGAGGGGGAAAGTGGGGTTGCGAGTGCTTGAATCCAACCCTTTCCCCCCCCCTTCTACCCAACCCCCACCCCACAGTTACTGCTGCTGGCAGCATCAGGGTGGGTCATCAGCGCAGCAACAGCGCCTTCAGCTGACTGGCTTCGGAGGACTTTAGCCCTCCATTGTGGCCCCCGCCTCCCCCACCGCACCCACTCATCCTCCCCACACCCACACTCCCTCCCCCTGCAGCTACTGCTGTTGGCAGCATCAGGGCCGGTCATCAGCGCAGCAACAGTGCCTTCAGCTGACTAACTTTAACCCTTCATCTCTCTCCTCTGCCCTCCTCCCATGATTTCTCAATCCCCTCCCCACCACAGCTCTTGCTGTTGGCAGTATCAGGGCTGGTCATCAGCGCAGCAACAGCACTGTCAACTGACTGGCTTGAGACCCCTTGACACTCCCTCCTTCCTTCCTCCTCATCCACACCCTCTCATCCCCCGCACAAACTACTCCCTGTTCCCACCACAGCTCTTGCTGTTGGCAGCATCAGGGCTGGTCATCAGCGCAGCAACAGCTCCTTCAACTGACTGGCTTGAATTCTTACAGTATTTTCAGGAGAGCCTCTTGGTAAGCATATTCATGGGTGCAGAGTAGTGCAGTGTGGTAGGGAATGGTGTAGGCTGGTGTGGGGCGGTGCTGGTGATTGCAATGCGAGTAATTTACCCATAAGTTAGAATGCTGATTACTGTCTTGAGTTTGGGCTGTATTTCCAGAAGAGCCTCGGTGGGTGCTTGCATGTGTTCGGTGTGGTGCAGAGTGGTGCAGAGTGGTGAAGGGTGGTGGGAGGGCTGTTTTTCCTGGATACATGTTCCTGCCCTTCCAACTCACCCCAATCTTCACACCCAACCTCCCCTATTCTTCCCCTTCCCGTTCCCCCTTCCCACCCCAATCCCCCCTCCCCTTCGCCCTATCAGATCCACATCACCTTCGCGGAATATGTTGATGGACGAAATCCATCCACATATTCCTTCTGATGTTGCTCGTCTTCTCCTTTTGACTTCCCTTCCCCTTTCGTCTCCTTTCCCCCCATCCCTTCCCCCTTCCCTCTTCCCCCTTCCATCAAATCCATGTCACCTCAATGGATTTCGTCCTTCTCAACATGTTCCTTCCAACGACGCCTCACATCCTCCCTTTGACTTCCGTTCCCTTCTCCCTTTTCCCCCCCCCTGCCTGCCAACCCATCAGATCCATGTCACCTCAATGGATTTCGTTCTCCTAAACTTGTTCCTGCCCTTCAACTCATCCAGTGACACCTGACCGCTCCCCTCCCCCTTCCCCTCCCCCTTCCCCTCCCCCCTTCCCCTCCCCCTTCCCCTCCCCCTTCCCCTCCCCCTTCCCCTCCCCCTTCCCCTCCCCCTTCCCCTCCCCCTTCCCCTCCCCCTTCCCCTTCCCCTTCCCCTTCCCCTTCCCCTTCCCCTTCCCCTTCCCCTTCTTCTTCCCCTTTCTCCCCATCAGATCCACGTCACGTCAATGGATTTCGTTCTTCTCAACATGTTCCTGCCCTTCTGGCTTTTCAACGACATGGCTTACAGGAGCTGGTATGTGTCATCAGGAGCTGACCAGTATGTCGTGAGCAGCAGGAGAGTGTCATCAGGAGCTGACCAGTATGTCGTGAGCAGCAGGAGAGTGTCATCAGGAGCTGACCAGTATGTCGTGAGCAGCAGGAGAGTGTCATCAGGAGCTGACCAGTATGTCGTGAGCAGCAGGAGAGTGTCATCAGGAGCTGACCAGTATGTCGTGAGCAGCAGGAGAGTGTCATCAGGAGCTGACCAGTATGTCGTGAGCAGCAGGAGAGTGTCATCAGGAGCTGACCAGTATGTCGTGAGCAGCAGGAGAGTGTCATCAGGAGCTGACCAGTATGTCGTGAGCAGCAGGAGAGTGTCATCAGGAGCTGACCAGTATGTCGTGAGCAGCAGGAGAGTGTCATCAGGAGCTGACCAGTATGTCGTGAGCAGCAGGAGAGTGTCATCAGGAGCTGACCAGTATGTCGTGAGCAGCAGGAGAGTGTCATTAGGAGCTGACCAGTATGTCGTGAGCAGCAGGAGAGTGTCATCAGGAGCTGACCAGTATGTCGTGAGCAGCAGGAGAGTGTCATCAGGAGCTGACCAGTATGTCGTGAGCAGCAGGAGAGTGTCATCAGGAGCTGACCAGTATGTCGTGAGCAGCAGGAGAGTGTCATCAGGAGCTGACCAGTATGTCGTGAGCAGCAGGAGAGTGTCATCAGGAGCTGACCAGTATGTCGTGAGCAGCAGGAGAGTGTCATCAGGAGCTGACCAGTATGTCGTGAGCAGCAGGAGAGTGTCATCAGGAGCTGACCAGTATGTCGTGAGCAGCAGGAGAGTGTCATCAGGAGCTGACCAGTATGTCGTGAGCAGCAGGAGAGTGTCATCAGGAGCTGACCAGTATGTCGTGAGCAGCAGGAGAGTGTCATCAGGAGCTGACCAGTATGTCGTGAGCAGCAGGAGAGTGTCATCAGGAGCTGACCAGTATGTCGTGAGCAGCAGGAGAGTGTCATCAGGAGCTGACCAGTATGTCGTGAGCAGCAGGAGAGTGTCATTAGGAGCTGACCAGTATGTCGTGAGCAGCAGGAGAGTGTCATCAGGAGCTGACCAGTATGTCGTGAGCAGCAGGAGAGTGTCATCAGGAGCTGACCAGTATGTCGTGAGCAGCAGGAGAGTGTCATCAGGAGCTGACCAGTATGTCGTGAGCAGCAGGAGAGTGTCATCGAGAGTGTTATCAGGAGCTGGTGCTGTGCCACCCTCCTGCTGCTGGGTGGGTTCATTTTTAGGCACCTCAAAATTGGAACTGAGAATAAAGCCATGGCACACTCTCCGGCTGGTGGGTGGGTTTTCTCTCATTCTGAACTGAGTCCCATAGCATAGCATGCTTGCCTCAACATGTTCCTGCGGTTCTGGCTTTTCATCTGGCTTTTCAACGACAAGGCTTAGATGGCGTTCCCACAGTTTCCCGACACCGAAGTTTGCCCACCAGGCTCAAAAATTGTCGGGATGGTGGTCAGAGTGGGGTACTGCCCCACTCTGGACACCGCGTCCTTGCGAGCCGTTACGACCAGATTGCGACCTTCTGACCAGTATACACGGAAAAAAACTAGTCGCACCCAATAGGCCTTCACATCTGACAATCGGATGGACTCAACGACTCGGTTGGGATTTCTGACTCCCGCGTAAAACGGTGCCCGAAAAATCGAGAACTAAAAATTAAGAGGCACACTGAACCATTTTTGTTAATGAATGGCGTTGACTCGGAAACCGGGCAGCTGAGCTTCGGGCAATGACACAGAAACGTGGGTTGGGTCGTAGCCCATTTCGGTAGGCGTCGTGGGCCGTCAGATGAGATCGTATACGGCTGTGGATTAACACTTGCACGACCAATTTGATGGGAATCTTGGTGGTCAAACTTCGAGCCGCATGTTGGCAAATTTCTCGAAATTGGCCAAATTGCGAGCCGCCTGGGCAAACTTTCTTGTCGGGAAACTGTGGGAACGCCCTCTTACAGGAACTGGTGAGTGCGATCAGGAACTGGATTGCCCTTCCATTTCATGATGCCCTGCCATACCTGATGCCCTGCCATACCTGATGCCCTGCCATACCTGATGCCCTGCCATACCTGATGCCCTGCCATACCTGATGCCCTGCCATACCTGATGCCCTGCCATACCTGATGCCCTGCCATACCTGATGCCCTGCCATACCTGATGCCCTGCCATACCTGATGCCCTGCCATACCTGATGCCCTGCCATACCTGATGCCCTGCCATACCTGATGCCCTGCCATACCCGATGCCCTGCCATGCCATGACTTTTGAGACATCTCAAAGGACATCCCTCATGTAACCCTAACCTTCCGTCACTCTCCCAACCCTCCCTTTTGTGTTTCCAGGGCGGCTAGAGACTCGTGGGGTGCTGCTCTCCCCTTCCTCCCCGTTATAAGACTTTTCAGATATCTCAAATGCTTCCCTTTCTCTCACCCCAACCCTCCTTTCGTCTCGCCCCAACCCCCTCTTCTATACTTCCAGGGCGCCTAGAGACTCATGGGGTGCAGCTCTTCCCTTCCTCCCCGTTATAGGCCCTGCCCTCTACCTTGTAATGAGGCCAGGGCTCCCCCCGCCACCGCCGCCTGCTGCAGCTGAATCCAAGTCTGATTGAGAGCCTAGGAGTGTGATTCACCCAGGAGTGTGATTCGCCCAGGAGTGTACCGTATATGGCAGCAGATTACAACACTAAGGATTGTAGAAAATGGCACAATAAAGCTAATGGGAAGCACATGTGACAATAACAGATTTTCCCTGACAGCCTTAACTATAAGCTGCATTGACAAGGTTTTCCACCTCTAGCAGCATATATGACAATCTAGGACTAGAACCATAGCGAGGATGAGGAGTCATCAAGTGGGGACTGGTAATCAAGTGGGGAACGCTTTAGTTGACATCAACTGGGGAATGCTTTAGTTGACATCAACTGGGGAATGCTGAAGAAGACATCAACTGGGGAATGCTTTAGTTGACATCAACTGGGGAATGCGTTAGTTGACATCAACTGTGGAATGCTTTAGTAGGTTATGACAATTTTTGTGAAGGTGACAGAAAATAAGCCCTTCCCCATACAGAACAAGGTACCGACCTCCTGGTAGTATGACACCTGAGTCTAGCCTCTTAAAATGACACGTTAGTGAAGGTGACAGAAGCGAAGCTCTGCCCCCATACAATCAGCCTCGCTACCTGCTTTCTGTACACCTTGACGGTGAAATCTGTAGACCAAGTCGTCCGCCTTACAACGACCTTGGTAGTTCCCCCCACGTTCATCGTGAACCCGTCTAGATTAATCGTCACGTGCCGGTCTTCCGCCTTCTGATTCACGACAAAAACCGTAACCCGTTTTTCGCCCGGGCTGTAGAACGCGCTCATGCCGTGCGAACAATCCGAACCTATCTTGAGCGGCTTGGATCCAGGTTCGGCAAGCATGGTGAAATGCTTGAAAATCCAAAACCTCTTGTTCGCTTTAGGCGTCTCCATTTCCCCAGTGTAATTCAGCGGATAATTCGGCGAAAAGTCGATGCATGACCAATGTGCCGCGAAATCGTACGCCTGCCAGATCATGTATGCTGAAGCCTCCATGATATTCACGCTCTCGATAACGTTTCGCGCCATGTACAGTGAAAGGTCCCAAACGCTCCCGCGCTTGCTTAGTGCTCCCGCCTCGCTAACCCACACCTCCTTCCCCAGCTGCTTCGCCGTGTCGCGAATGGTGCCGAATCGTTTTTCGTACGTCGCAGCCACAGTCTTGTCATGGTAACTATTCACGTACGCGTGAACGTTTATCCGCGTTAGTAGCTCATGATTCGGGATCTGAGGTAGCTGCGCTGTCATGCCATCCCAGCTGTCCACCCCGACCAACTTCGTTTTAAGTGCCTTTGCTTTTAACGAGTCCGAGGTGTACTTGATGACTCGTCCCATCTCGGGGGGGTTGAATGTACACCCCTCGTGTTCTTTCCCGGCCTTCCAAAATCCCTCCAGCGCCTCGTTAAACGGCTCCAACGCATCAAATCTAATTTTCCACCTATTCGCGAACTCCGCCACGACTGTCGTCAAGTAGTCTGCGAAAGCCTTCTCGTACTTCGGCAGCAAATTCGTCGCCCCCTTCCAAACCGCACCTGCCACGTCACCCGTTACGGTCATCCACCACGGCGGGCTGTTGGAAAACGCCTCGAAGACATTCGCGCCTCTCTCCTTCGCTCCCTGCAGCACGTTCCGCTGCCGTTCGTCCGCGCTCCAATCGTACGGCCCGTCCTTTGTCGGCTTGTAACCCGGAATCCCCCGCCAAACCACCTCCGAGTTTTGATGAAACTGCGGGCTCCGTTCGTCGTTGTGCCCCCCTCCGATATTGTAACGTACGATGTTCAGTCCGAGACCGTTTATGGGTTCAAAAATAAGGTCGAGAATTGCGGTCAGCTGCTGCTGCGGCAAGCCGCCGACGTAGTTTGCGAACCACGCGAGAGAAGTTCCCCACCCTCGCCACGTGGTCCCGACGAACTCTGGCGAAACTGTGACATTGATCGCACCTGCAAGCAAAGCATGAGAAGCAATGAATAAGCCTTCGTTGGTTAAGCAAATGCCGCATCAAGCCATGCGGAGAAGTCTGGTACCCTTCCAGTTGCGCAGTGAGAGAGATACCTGCCTCATAAGACGCAGGCTACGTTGCTCAAGACTAAAACTAGCAGGTAGGTATCTTACCTTTAGATTTGCAGGTGGATAGCAATTCAAACGCGGGCAATAGATCGGGGGGCGGGGCCCGCTTGTTGCCGTCGGCGCCGCCGGCGCGGCGTGCTGCCGTCACTGTTTTCGCGTGCGCGGCAATCTCAAGGAGGGCTAGAGCTACGAGGACACTGAAGGACACGCCGCGAAGGAGCCAACTCCTCGCCATCGCGCTGATATTCTACTATGGCACAATCACTTGGCAAGCATGGGTTGGGATCGCACTGTCTTGGATCGACTATACCACTGCTCTCTCTCCGTGATTTAATGTTCACGAATCACGAGGCGCAAGAGGCGGTATATGTGGATGTACACGAACGAGGGGATGGCTCCAGCGGAGCCTGTTGCACCATCTGTCGGTATCGCGCTGGTAGAAACGACATTCTACCGAAAGGACAGCGCACGTCATCTGTGTCGACGATGGTGAGGCTCGTGGCTTGTGGAGAAAGCGCGTGCCACTCACGATCAACTTCGAGTCGCGCGCGCATCGTGAGCTGAAGCATGTTGGAAATCTGAGAGTTCGTGTAATGATGTGAGGGGGTGGGATCGTGGGTGGCTTGGAGACAAGGGGTAGAATATGGTAGGGGCATGACCTAGGGGCAAGTGAAAGGTGAGTGGGCTGGAATCGCTTGGTTGGCGGAGCAGAGCTCGAGGTGGAGGGAAAGGCGAGGAGGGAGAGAGACGGAGAAATTTCAGAGGCAATGAGAAATTGGGGAGGGGAATGTGACGATCACGAACCGCGTGCGCTTCGAACCAGATGACATTGTTGTGACTACTGTATCGAGGGAGGGGCGAGAATACCCAGAATTTGAAGAACGTGTAGAGCTGGTGGCCCAGCTATATTCGCGCTATAGATTTTGCGAACGAGTTGGTAGCGCACGATAGTGACATGACTCGGTTTCCCTGTGAAAAAACTTCTGGGCAGGTGTTTGAAGGTAGGAGTATACTAAATGCACCAAACAGTACATTCCAAAGAGTTGTATCTCAATAATACCAGCACTCTATGCATGGTTGCTTCCGGACCCCAGATTGGCTTTGGGGGACGTTGAATAATCAAGTCGTCCAACTAAATTATACTGGACCAACATAAATCGCCTTCGTACCAGTATCTGATTAGCTGCCTAACTCAACCTAGCTAGCCACAGAACGGAATCTTATGCTGAAATCGTTATATCTGGAGGCTTTATGGGTCATCTCTTACCCCAAACTTTTATATATCCAGCGCCAACTGTCCCTTCAGTGTTTCCAGGGCGCCTAGAGACTCTTGGGGTGCTGCTCTCACCTTCATCCTCTTCCAAATTATAGCAAAGAGTTGAGGACTTTGATTCAGGGAATGTATATGGCAGCAAATGGCCAGTATGGATAGTGAAGGGTATCCAAAATTGCCATGCCAGCCTAGACTAGTACAGAATTTTCCCAACCCTAGCTGCTGGTAATTAACAATCTAGGAGTAGACTCATACTCATAGCTAGGCTAGGCATCATCAAATGGTGGTCGCTGCTGCAGCTACCAGCAATGCACAAATTAAGGTGGCAAGCAAAGCTCTGCTTACAGAACCAGCACTAGCGGTGCTGTTAAAGCCTAGTCTCTCAGGTGAAGGTGACACGTTAGTGAAGGTGACAGAAACGAAGTTCTGTCCCCATACAGTCAACCTCGCTACTTTCTGTGTGTACACCGTGCGGTCGAAATTCGAAGACGAATTTGTGCGCCTTATAACGACCTTGGTAGTTCCACCCACGTTCCTCGTAAAACCGTCTAGAGTAATCACCACCTGCCGGTCTACTGCCTTCTGAGTCACGATGAAAACCGTAACCTGGTTTTCACCGGGGCTGTAGAATGCGCTCACGCCGTGAGAACAACCCGAGCGTACCTTTAGCGGCTTGGATCCAGGTTTGGCAAGCATGGTAAAATGCTTGAAAATCCAAAACCTTTTGTTCACAGTAGGCATCACCATTTCGCCACTATAGCCAGGTGGATAATCCGGCGGGAAGTCGATGCATGACCAATGTGCCGCGAAATCGTATGCCTGCCAGATCATGTATGCTGAAGCCTCCATGATATTCACGCTCTCGATCACGTTTCGCGCCATGTACAGTGAAAGGTCCCAAAAGCTCCCGTTTTTGCCTAACGCTCCCGCTTCGCTAACCCACACCTCCTTCCCCAGCTTCTTCCCCGTGTCGCGTATGCTGCCGTATCTGCCTTCGTAAGTCGCAGCCACACCCTCCTTGAAGTACTGATTAACGTACGCATGAACGCTTATCCGCGTTAGTAGCTCACGATTCGAAACCTTAAGTACCTGCGCTGTCGTTCCATCCCAGCTGTCCACCCCCACCAACTTCGTTGTCAACCCCTTAGCTTGTAACGAGTCTGAAGTGTACTTTATGACTCGCCCCATCTCCGGCGGATTGAAATTACACCCCTCGTGATCCTTTCCGACCATCCAAAACCCCTCCAACGCCTCGTTGAACGGCTCCAATGCATCGAAAGTAACTCCCCACCTTTTCGCAAACTCCGCCACGACTGTCGTCAAGTAGTCTGCGAAATCGTCTTCGTACTCAGGCCGCATATTCGTCTCCCCTTTCGAAACCGCGCCTGCCACGTCACCCGATTTGGTCATCCACCAGGGCGGGCTGTTGGAAAACGCCTCGAAGACATTCACCCCTCTCTCCTTCGCTCCCAGCAGCACGTTCCGCTGCCGTTGATCCGCGCTCCAATCGTACGGCCCCTTCTCCGTCGGCTTGTAACCTGGGATGCCCCTCCAATGCGCCTCCAAGCTCTGATGAAACTGCGGACTGAGTGTATTGTTGTGCCCCCCTCCGATGTTGTAACGTACGATGTTGAGGCCTAAGCCGTTGATGGGATCGAAGATAAGGTCGAGAATCGCGGTCCGCTGCTTCTGCGGCAAGCCGCCGACGTAATTCGCGAACCAGGCGAGCGAAGTTCCCCACCCGCGCCACGTGGTTCCGATGAAATCTGGGGAAACTGTGATATTGATCTCACCTGCAAGCAACACGTGAAGCATGAACCAATTATTAATTCCGTTGTATTGCCGAATGCATGTGAAGCAATCTCAGATCGGGAACTTGCAGGTGGAGAGCACGTCTCCCGTACATCTGGGGCGACCCTTGCTACCATCGCGTGTTTTGAGTCACTTCGAAATTGTTTCTTAGTCGAGTCGAGTCATTTGTACGAACTGGCGGGCAGAAGTAGTGTACCTGGAAACTTGCAGGTGGATAGAATTTCTTCCTTGGGCACTAGATCGGGGGGCGGACTCTGCTCGCTGCCGTTCCTGGGTGCTGCGGTCACCGATTTTGCGCGCGCTGCAATCTCGAGGAGGGCTAGAATGATAAGGACACTGGAAGACACGCTGCAAAATAGCAATTTCTTCGTCATCATGCTTATTCTCTAGGGCACTGCTGAGCGAGGATCACCCAGCGTTGGATCGCAATTAGATCTTGAAGATCACTTCTCTGCATAATCTTATATTGCGCGAAGGGAACTTGTAGCGCATGAGATGGTACTCGTAGTAAGAGCGAAGGGATGGTGCCGACGGAGCTACTGTGTTAACTGTCATATCATCGGTCAGTTTGCTATCATCGGTCGGTTGTGTCCCTATGACAACCATCTCTAACTACGGATTCGCGCGCGCACTGCCGGCTTGGTTGTGAGGTTGGGAAGGGCGGCTGTGGAAATCCAAGCTGGGTTGGGAACTTGGGAGACAAGGGGCTAGGGGCTAGGTAGGTAGGGAGGTGCACGAGGAATGGGGGAAAGGGAAAGTGCGGCAGCGTTGACAGGGGAGGGCCTCGAGGTTGAGGTTGAGGAGCAGGGGAGAGGATGGATTGGGACAAAGAGGAAATGGGGTGAGAAATGTGGTGAGGCGATAATGACGTGCGTGCGATTCGAACCATTCAAATACGGCTCATACATGCGCCGAATCGTGAAAATGACGGCAGCGCACGTAACAGCTTCCTCATTCAGACGCAGGTCTGAATCGCTACAGCACCTGAATCAGCGAAGTCAAGCCTAAAGTTTCGCAAGTGTTTTCGCCAACGTTCGCATTTCCACTTTCGATTCCCGCTTTACGCGACACTATCGTCCGCGGGGATCGTAGTAGTGACGCCCTTCTGGTTACATTGCTGAGTGTTGTCGCCACTGTCGCGCATCTTGCTGCTCAACCGTTCCTTCACATTATAGGCCCTGCCCTGCCCTCTGCCTTGTACTGAGGCCAGGGCTTCCTCTGCGGTCTGTAGCATATAAAGAAAAATAGTAAATAGTAAAGTAATTTGTCCCAAGGAGTGTATATGGCAACAATTACCTGTATGGATTAGGAAGGGGGGAATATGGCATAATATTGCTATTAAAGAACATCAGTGACAGTCAAATCTCGCCATGCCAGTCTAATCTATAATCTATAATGACAGAATTTCCCAACTCTAGCTGCTGGTGACTACAATTATAGGGGTAGAACCATACCTAGGGCTAAGGAGTCAGCAAATGGTGCCGACTGCTCAGGAAATAACTACCAGCCACACTAGCTAAGGTGACAAACGAAGATGTCAGTATAGTACCAACACTATCACTATTAGTATGCCACGTTAGTGAAGGTGACCGAAACGAAGTTTTGCCCAAATACAGTCAGCCTCGCTACTTTCTGTGAGTACACCCTGCGGTTGATGTCCGTAGACCAAGTTGTGCGCCTTACAACGACTTTGGTAGTTCCCCCCACGTCCCGTCTGAAACCATCTAGATTAATCAGCACCTGCCTACCTTCTGCCTTTTGATTCACGACGAAAACTGTAACCCGCTTTTCGACCGGGCTGTAGAATGCGCTCATGCCGTGCGAACAATCCGAGCGTATCTTGAGCGGCTTGGATCCGGGTTTGGCAAGCATGGTGAAATGCTTGAAAACCCAAAACCTTCTGTTCGCTTTAGGCATCACCATTTCGCCATTGTAGCCGGGTGGATAATCCGGTGGGAAGTCGATGAGTGACCAATGCGCCGCAAAATCGTACGCCTGCCAAACGTGGTACGCAGAAGCCTCCATGATATTGACGCTCTCGATAACGTTTCGCGCCATGTATAGCGAAAGGTCCCAAAAACTCCCGCTTTTCCCTAACGCTCCCGCTTCGCTAACCCACACCTCCCTCCCCAACTGCTTCGCCGTGTCGCGCATGCTGCCAAATCTGCCTTCGTAAGTCGCAGCCACACCCTCCTTGAAGTACTTATTAACGTACGCATGAACGTTTATTCGCGTTAGTAGCTCATGATTCGCGATCTGCGGTAGCTGCGCTGTCGTGCCATCCCAGCTATCAACCCCCACCAACTTCGTTGTCAATGTCAAGAATACAACTAGGAATGATGGATTGGACTAGGCAAGAGGTGAGTACAAGTAGGGGAAACCTAACCCTAAAGTGTTGTACTCACTAAGGAGTGACCCTACTGTAGCCTAGAGATACAATTGTAATCTGACACACCCCCATAGGCAAAGTAGGGGACAGCAAACACAACAAGCGGTCACAAGACCAGTCTGCAGAAGAGAACACAGCTCAGGGTGGATCACAAAGTCACCACGCATTCTGAGCACAAGCAAGTGGCCACAAGGCCAGTTCACATGCAGAGGTATATAATAGCAAGGCAGTACACTGATCACAACCTAGCAAGAGAAAACATGCAGGCATAAAGATATATAGCAGTGTACAACAAGAGCAAGTCAAGCAACCAACAGGTGAGGCAGAGTGGGCACAAGCCCAAGAGCAGTGCAGAAACGGTGATGATCACCAGCCCCAAGGGCCTTGATGAAGACATCAGCAGTGTTGGCCCGAGAGGCCACGTAAGCAAGGCGCAGCTGACCACGCTGCTGCAGCTCACGCGCAAGGAAGTAGCGAAGAGCAATGTGCTTTGTTCTGTGCTCCAGTCTCTGCTCGCGACACAAGGAAAGCATTTCCTTGTTGTCGACGTACAGAACTGGAGGAGAACGAGGCCGCTCCCCCAAGTCGGTCAGCAGGTAGGTCAGCCAGCGTAGCTCCTGTGCAGCCATGGCCCCAGCGTAGATCTCGGCCTCACAGCTGGAACCAAGCACAGAAGAAGAACGAGTGGACCTCCACGAGACAGAACCAGCGCCAAGACTGAAGGTGTAACCCTGTGACGAACGCTGAGTCGTCTGGTCGTCGGCCCAAGAAGCGTCAGAGTGTCCTGTGAGGACCACCGAACCCCGTCCTCCAAGCACGAGCCCCATGCCCGATGTGCTGCACAAGTAACGCAGTACCCTCTTCGCAGCATCAAAGTGCACCTTTCGGTGTCGACCAGGTGCCACGTAGCGAGCCAGGAGGCTGAGAGGGTACGCGAGGTCAGGTCGTGTGCACGTCATCAGGTACATGAGGCAACCCACAAGCTCTGGGTACGGACCACTCGGCTCTACGGACTCGTCCGAAGGTGGAGCTGAGAGCGAGTGGCCGGTAGACAGAGGAGTGGGCTGTGGCGAGGACCAAGTGAAACGGAAGCGCTGAAGGACCTGGTGCACCATGTGTGACTGAATGAGGGTGATGGTGCGCCGTGGTCTGTCCCGGGTGATCTGCAAGCCAAGATAGCTCCGCAGCTCACCCAGGTCAGTGCAGGTGTGTCTCTCCTGCAGCTCTGCCTTCACTAGGGCCAGTGCTTCAGTGTCAGCAGTAGCAAAAACCAAGTCGTCGACGTACACGAGGATGTAGAACGGCGGCAGAGTAGTGTCGGTGCGTAGAAACAGCGACGGGTCAGCAGTCGAAGGAGCAAACCCAAGAGCCGCAAGTGTCGTCCTCAGTGTGTCGTGCCACTCACGGGGCGCCTGACGCAGGCCGTACACTGGTCGCCGTAGGCTCCACTGGGTACCCTCAGGAAACGACCCAGTGAAGCCCTGTGGACGGCGCAATCAGATGGCCTTGTGAAGGCTACCCTGCAAGAAAGCTGTCGAGAAGTCGAGGGAGTGCAGCTCGTAGTCGCTCTGTGCTGCAACGTGTAGCAACACCCGAAGAGTGGTCATCTTCGGGGTGGGGGAGAAGGTCTGAAAGAAGTCAACTCCCTCACGCTGACTAAAATCTCGAGCAACGTAACGTGCCTTGAAGGCAGTCGGAGAACCCGGCGGCCGCTTCACCCTGAAAATCCACATGCCACTGACGATGTTCGCCCCAGGTGGGGGAACCTCGTCGACGTAGGTGCCTGTGGACTTCCAGGAAGCCATCTCCGAGTCCATGGCTGTCTGCCACTGAGAGGAGTACTCACCCGAAATCGCCTCCCTGTAGGAGCGCGGGGTGGGGATGTCAAGTGCATCCGGGTCTCCCTCAGGGGCAAGCAGCATGGTCGCGTGATGGGGTGAAGCGGCAGCAAGGCACTCCAGCTCCTCCTGTCTGTCCTCAAGAACGTCACAGCCAAGGGCAGTACAGCCAAGAGCAGTCTCACCCCCGACGGACGGAGGACAGGCAGGGACAGGTTCAGAGACAAGACTCGCAAGGTAGTCTAGGCGGTACACAGCAGCAAAGTCAACAAGCTCAGCTACTAGGGCAGACGCAGCAGGAGACGAGAACGTAGGGTCCGTCACAACCGTAGCAAGAAGGCGAGTAACAGTCGGACTGGACGCACGAGCAAGGTCAGACGGAGGGTCAGCAACGTCAGGCAGAGAGGACGCAGGAGGTAACGGTAGTACAACACGCTGAGGAACAGAGGAAGGACGGAGTGTCATATCGTGAGTGCCGGGGACAGCGGAGCACGCGGACGACGAACACGAGGAACACGAGCACGGACAGCAGCTCTAGGCTCAGGCTCAAGGTCAAAGCTAGACTCAGGCTCTCGATGCTCAGGGGTGGAAGCACGAGTCTCAGGCTCTCGACGCTCAGTCAGGGACTCTGACACCGCAGTGTAAGGAGCAGGAGCAGGCAGTGGGGAGTGTGGTAGTAGCGGTGGCTGTGACTGGTCCGCTGGCGGACACAGCAACGGAGGAGTAGTACCTGCCACAGGGAAGCCAGTAGCACCTGGCGGAAGACTGAGAAGGTGGCGAAGAGCACCAGTAGCTCCCGTACCTCCAGCACGAGCAGCTCCTCCAGTACCCCCAGCAAGACCTCCAGCACAAGTAGCACCAGCACCTCCAGCACCACGAGCTCCGACAGCGCCAGCACCTCGAGCACCAGTAGTACCTCCAGCACCTTTAGTGCCTCCAGCTCCAGCTCCAGCGCCTCCAGCACCAGTAGTAGCTCCAGTACCTCCTGTGCCAGCAGCTCCAGTAGCACCTCCTGCACCTCCAGCACCAGCAGTACCACCTGCTCCGGCAGCTCCAGCACCTCCAGTACGAGCACCTCCGGGACCAGTAGCTCCAGCACCTCCAGGGTCAGCAGCTCCTGCAGCTCCAGCACCAGGAGCACCAGCACCTCCAGTGCCACCAGCTCCAGTACCTCCAGCACCGGCAGCAGCTCCAGTACCCCCAGCACTAGCAGCTCCAGTACCTCCTGCACCAGCAGCACCTCTAGTACCTCCAGTAGTACCTCCAGCACCTCCAGCAGTACCTCCAGCACCTCCAGCACCAGCAGCACCTCCTGGACTAGTAGCTCCAGCACCAGCAGGACCGTACCCTCCACCACCAGGACTGCCTCGCAGAACGACCCACGCACGAATCGCCTGCGGCGAGAGCGTCTCAAGTAGAGCAGGCTGCGGTGGCTGTCCAGCTCCAGTACCTCTAGTAGTGGTAGCTCTAGCACCTCCAGCACCAGAAGCACCTCTAGTACCTTCAGCTCCAGCACCTCCAGCACCAGCAGCAGCTCCAGTACCTCCAGCACCAGGACCTCCAGAAGGACTCGCAGCACCCCCAGAGTCAGCACCCGAAGTCTCAGCACCCCCAGAGTCAGCACCCAAAGTCTCAGTACCCTCAGTCCCAGCACCCTCAGGCTCAGCACCCTCAGTCCCAGCACCCTCAGTCTCAGCACCCTCAGTCTCAGCACCCTCAGTCCCAGCACCCTCAGTCCCAGCACCCTCAGGCTCAGTACCCTCAGTCCCAGCACCCTCAGTCTCAGCACCCTCAGTCTCTGCTCCAGTGTCCACAGCAGTAGGCTGCAGAGGCGGCGAAGACGGCAGAGGTGGGAAGCCGGGGGGGGTAGCCAGACGAGGAGAGCGGGCACCCCCAGACTCACCACCCCCAGCCCCAGCTCCAGTAGTCTCAGCTCCAGAGTCCACAGCAGCAGGCTGCGGAGGCGGCGAAGACGGCCGTGGCGGGAAACCCGGGGGGGTCGCCAAGCGAGGAGTGTGGCGAGTGGTCGCCGTGTCGTCGGCGACGGCGTCACCCCCCTCAGGTGAGTCAGAGGAGTCAGAAGAGATCTCAACTGGCTCATCCAAGGGGGGTGGGTCTACCTGGGACACACCTGAGGGAGCAGGACCCTGTGGGGGGAGGGGGTCTACCGGGGGGGGGACTGGTACCAAGAAGAAGGGTGCAAGGGGGACCGGGTGGGACGCGTGCGGGTGAAGTCGGTAGTAACAGACCTACTCGTCGAAGGTGACGTCCTGAGAGGACAGAACACGACGCGAGGCAGGGTGGTAGAACTGCCAGGGTGGAGCGTCGGTGGGGAAGCCCAGGAAGACACAGCGGAGAGTGCGAGGAGAGAGCTTGCTCGCTTTGGTATCGCGAACAAGGGAGAGCGCGCCCCAGACCCGAAACGACGACACATCACCAGGCTGTCCCGTCCAACGAAGTGTGGGCGAGGTCTCTGGAGCAGAGACACGGGGCCAGAGGTTGAGCTGATGCGCGACGTATCGGACCGCAAACGGCCACAGGAAATGGGGAGCAGCCGCATGGATCATGGAGGTACGAGCAACCTCCATGATCAGGCCAATGCGACGCTCAGCGATCCCATTTTGCTGCGGAGAGGCCGGAAGCGTGAACGACTGGGCGATGCCCTCATCCTGGCAGAACGTCTCAAGGACGCCAGAAGAGAACTCACCACCCCTGTCAGAGTGCAGACGCAGGACTGGGAAGTCCTGATGAAACCGCTCGTGTAGCTGGAGACGAGTAGCACGGATCCAAGGGATCAAAACACCGCTGACGTCCGCCTTGCGACGCAAGGGGAAGACTGTGGTGTAGCGTGTGTAGTCGTCAACAACCAGCAGGAAGTAGCGCTCCTGGTCCGTCCCACCGACGGGGGCCGGGCCCCACACGTCCAGGTGGAGAGTCTGCAGAGGAGCAGTGGTTGGAGGAAACTCGGAGGAGTGAGGATCGGCGCGCTGCCGCCCCTCGACGCAAGGAAGACACGGCAGCGCAAGTGAGCGCGGGAGGGGGGGCAGGGTCTCAGGGAGGCCAGAGACCAGGAGCCGGGAGTGCATGCCGCGCAGACGCTGCAGGGAGGGGTGACCAAGACGGTGGTGCCAGCGCTGAGTCTCGTGCGTGAGTACTCTGCACGAGCAAGACGCAGCTAACTGCCCTGACGCAGACGCTCGACTCGACGCAGCTACCTGACCTGACTCAGCCACCTGTGCAGACGCAGTGGTCAGTGTGTACAGACTAGACCCAGGCTGACGAGTGAACGTAGCCAGGTGACGGCCAGTCCGGGAGCACGTACAGATCGCCACACGCTGCCCTCCAGGAATAAAGGTATCAACCCAGACATCCTGAATGGCAGCGTTGCTCACCAAGTTCGTCGAGAACGTGGGGAGGTGGAGACCTGACAAAGAACCAGAGGGGACTGCTGGACAAGGGAGGACCGTGGAGGCTCTCGCAACCACTGGGCCCCCAGAGGGGTCAGCCAGTGAGACTGGGACAGGTGCTGTGAGTGGTGTGACTGTGGTGCAATCACGGAAGAAGCAACGTGACGCGCCTAAGTCAAGCGTGAAAGTGTGCAAGACCTCAGCTGAGGCAGGACCTGTGGTAGTAGACGCACTAGCACCTAGAGCGTCGGTAGACCCACGGGCACCTAGAGCTGCAGCAGACTCACTAGCACCTGGAGCGGCAGCAGACTCACTAACACCAAGAGCAGCAGTCCTAACAAAACGATAACCTCCACCACCAGGACGACCTCGCTGAATAACCCACTCACGAAGCTGCTGAGGGGTGGGGTTGTCTGGGAGAAGCAGTGCCCGCTGCTGTCCACCCCTGGCCGCAGCAACTGCCGCGGAAGTGGCCATGACAGACAGTGACGGTCAGGAGTAGGTCCAGCAACTCCAGCTCCTACAGCGCCAGCAGCACCTCCTGCACTCCCAGCAGCACCTCCTCCACTCCCAGTAGCACGAGTAGGAGCAGCAGCAGTAGTAACAACAGCAGGGCGGCGCGCGGCCAGAGCAGGGCGGCGCGCGGCCACAGCAGGGCAGTAGTAGGCAGTAGCTCCTAGGGCAGAAGCACCTAGGGTCCTCTTTTTTTTTTTTTTTTTTTTAATAAACAATTTAATTATATTTAGGGTATAGCCGGGCGCTGGCGCAGGGCAGGGCGCTGGCGCAGGGCAGGGCGCTGGCGCAGGGCAGGGCGCTGGCGCAGGGCAGGGCGTCAGCGCGCGCAGGGCAGGGCGCTGGCGCAGGTTGCAGGGGCAGGACGCGCGGGCTGCAGGGGCGCCGCGCTGGCTGCAAAGGCAGCTCGTACGGGCTGCAGGGGCCGCGCGGACGGGCTGCAGAGGCGGCGCGCGGGCTCCAGGGGCGACGCGCGGGCTGCAGGGTCCGCGAGGACGGGCTGCAGAGGCGGCGCGCAGGCTCCAGGGGCGACGCGCGGGCTGCAGGGTCCGCGAGGACGGGCTGCAGAGGCGGCGCGCGGGCTCCAGGGGCGACGCGCGGGCTGCAGGGTCCGCGAGGACGGGCTGCAGAGGCGGCGCGCGGGTTCCAGGGGCGACGCGCGGGCTGCAGGGTCCGCGAGGACGGGCTGCAGAGGCGGCGCGCGGGCTCCAGGGGCGACGCGCGGGCTGGCTGCAGAGGCGACGGGATTGTTGCAACAAAAATGAATTCGTTTGGTTGCTGAATGCACGAAAGCCGATACCTGGAAACAGCGGGTTCTGCCATCGTATGTTGTAAGTTGACTCATAACAAACTAGCAGGTAGTAGTATTAATAGCGTACCTGGGAGCTTGCATGTGGATAGCAATTCGTCCGTGGGCAATAGATCAGGGGGCGGACCTCGCTTGCTGCCAACCGCCCATGCCGCCGCCACTGTTTTAGGGTGCGCGGCACTCCCGAAAAGGGCTAGAAATAGGACTATAAAAGACACGCCGCCAAGGTGCAAACGCCTCGTCATCGTGCTTACTTTCTAGGGGACTACTAACCGAGCATCAACCAGCCTTAATTCTATGATTTCTACGCTTTAAATTTTGATGTGCACGTAGCGGGAACTTGTAATGCAGGAGACGGTACATGTAGGAAGAGCGAGGGTATGGCTCCGACGGAGCTAATGTACTAGCTGTGCTATCATCGGTTGGTAGCAGAAGGACTTCGCCGCACCGTGTCTCTATCGCGGGCATCTCTATCAGACGAGAGCGCGTCTCGATGGATTCGCGCGCGCAGAGTCGGCTGCAGCAAGTTGTGAGCTAGGGGGTTGTGTTGTGTACTGATGAGGGGCAGAGGATCCTGGGTGGGTAGGTGGGATGGGTCGACTTGAGATTAGGCTGGGTTGGGATGGGAGCCCTGGGCCACGTGCAAGGGGGCAACAGTGGCATGGCAAGGGAAGGGGGACGTAAAATGGGGATGTGGACCAGAAATGTGACGATACGAATTGCGTGCGATTCGAGCCATTCGACATTGTTGCAATGTGAGTACTGACTGAACCGAGGGCGCTTCGAGAAAACAAATTATGATGGGCTTGTAGAGGTCGAGGACTTTCCATGGCAAGCTACACCTTCACACACGAACCAGAGCAGAACAAGCAGTACGTTGCAGTTATTGCACTAGAAGTCTCTTTAAATTTGGTGCTATTCAAATTGACATACCATTCAATGCTTTGTCTCTGTACACACTTCAACGCCAAATATGCTTGGTAGTTCATTCCTTCGATCTTGATCCTCAATTGTATCAAAGGGTATGTCGTAAATTCATATTGACGCCACGTTTGAGAGTTGTCGCCAACATTGCAGAAATGACTCATGCCGAAGCAGGCCAGCTTGTGCAACATACAGTAAGTTGAAAACCTGGCACCGCAAGTCTGGCGTTATTCATGGTACTCAACTCAACCTCTCCGGCTTCTCTCAATTTCACCATACACCCAGCATAGTATGGGTTGTCAAGTTGTCAACATCCAAGCGGAAAATTACACAGCACATCCCGAGCTAATTATTTCTCATACCGGTAATCACTTGTAGCGATCTCGAGTTCACGTTTGCAAACACAAGCAAATGTAACGAACAGGAGCAGCAAGGTACAACAATCTCCACACCCCTACCAGAAACTCCACCAATTCCCATCACCCCCACTCCTCCCTCCTCCCCTCTCCTTTCCCCAAGCCCCCCTTCCCCCCATCTTACTCCCCCTTCCCCTCCCCCTCCTCCGTTTTGCCGTCTCTCTGCCCCCACATCCCCTGCAGCACCCACCTCACCTCCACCTGTCTCCATCCCAGGTCTCCCACTACAGGCCACCGATCCTTTACTCTCAGGAGCCACTCCCTCGAGACCAAGAGCCTCAACCACCTCCTGTGATTCCAATGCGAATACATCCCCACACCGACACTCTGCCACAAACACACCTCTCCTGTAGGCCTCCTCGCCTGCTCCCTCCCAACCTGAACCCCCCTTCCCACTTTCATGCTTCCTCACATTCCCCTCTTTTTCCTCCTCTCCGCATTCTGCCTTTTCTTCTGCTTCTTCTTGTTCTTCCTCCTCCCATGTCATGTCGTCTATGCTAATCCCATCAGCACACGACGTTGCACCACCACAGCTAGCTCCTCCTGCTGCTTCTCGGGCCACTGATGCTACCCCTCCTCCTGCTCTCCCTCCTCCTCCTTCGGCCCCGTCTACTGCTGTGGGTTCTGCTGCCAACTCACCATTCTCCCTCTGCCCTCCCTCCACCCCACCTTGCCTCACCCCTTGGCTCTCCCCTTCTTGTGGGTGAGAACCATTCACAGAGCTGGAACTGTAGCCACCATTGGTGGAGCTGTAGCAGGCAGCACTGTAGCTGCGGCTGTAGCAGCCCTGCTGCACCAGAGCCAGCGCCGCCGCCCGTTTGTCTGACTCTGCACCAGATTCGTTACAAGGAAATATTGGTACACAAAGAGACTAATTTAAGCATCGAGAAGAGTCCCTTTGAGACCAGATTAAAGAGGTCAGGCTCACATGAGAGGCAGGGCATGTTGTAGCGCACGATTATGAGCCAAAGACGCGTCTCGCAGCGCTCCCGAACCCTAGCCGTGGGAAATTTCGAATTCAATCACGAGCCCGTCGTTTGTTTTATGACCTTAACTGGACACCTGAACCCTAAACTTGAGAACACCTGGCGGTTAAGGAACGCACCTTGGAGCATGCGATCGTAATCCGCGCGAGTGGACGAATCGCGCAGAGCACTCCAAGCCGCGTGCACGCGCTGAAACCGTTGCTCCTGACCGTTAGGAACGCTGTCGTTGTTAGTGTCTTCTCCGTTATCCTGCACCCGTCGTCCCAGATCTTCGTGAATACGTTCGCCTTCCTGCTGCCGTTGCGCTTGCTTCTGGCTTTGATTCTGCTGCTGTTGCTGCTGCTGCTGCTTGTCTGGGTGCAACAGCAGCGCTGCTTCTTGGAAACTGCGACGGATCTCCTCTACACTAGCGCTTCGGGCTACACATAGCGCATCGTAGTGAGTCTCACCCAATCCATATGACTTCGCCGCTCTTCCTCTACTTGAGAACGAAGAGGACGCCATTCCCGCGCGATTGCTTTGAAGATTGCGAATCCTAGCCCCCTCGCCGAAAGTGCATATGATTGCGAATCTGAAACTTCTGATCAAGCCCAAAACCCTGGGCTTGGTTTGGGTTTGATCAGAAGTTTCAAGTTCGCGCGCTAACTTTTCCGGGGGGGGGAACGATTGAGTTCGGTTGAGAGAGCTGGAGTCGGGTTTCCAAATTCTGCCTTGAGTTTGTCCCCACAACAGGGACAAGTAATGGATTCGCCTTTCAACCCTGCCTGACAGACAATCGGGAATTCACCTTACAGGAATTTTACACACAGAAAGTGCTGAAGCTGCACGGTCTAGACTGACAGGGTCCTGACGAGGTAAGGCGCTGCGTTGACGGCTTTGAAGGTGTTGACGGCATTGACGGCTTTGAAGGTGTTGACGGCGTTGACGGCTTTGACGGTGTTGACGGCGTTGACATGTATTGAATGATCTCGCGATGGACATAGGATTTCGGCTTAGCCGCCTGCCGGCTGTTTCAGCCAGCCGGCTGACCGTTGTTTTGACGGCCGGCCCGTTTGGCACGCTTCGTTTCAGAAGATTGCCTGTCGTGCCGTCTTTCGCGGCGGATCGGCTAGTTTGCACGTCAACGCCGTTTGGGGAATCTATGAAATCTCTTGCGATTCTAAATCGCAGCAGTGGGATAGAGGCGAATAAGGCGACCTTGGAGACAAATTCCCGCAGCGCTTGGCGCCAGGCGAAGTTTCGCATAGCTTGTAACACGCGAAATGGGGTTACCAGTCCGGTAACCACTGGCTCTGCGACAAGCAGCAGGAGCATCAGTACCAGCAGCAGGAATGGGAATGCTGACAAGGCAGAGAAGAGGGAGACGGGGACAGGGGAAACGGCGGGGAAGGTGGCGGGGAAGGGGGAGGCGGCGGAAGGAGAGCAGGAGCTTGGCGGGGAAAATCGGCCGCTTAGGCTGGTGGTGATTGGGGGAGGCGCAGCGGGCGTGTTTGGCGCGATTCGAGCCAAGGAGTTGGCGCCTGGTTTGGAGGTCCGGGTGGTGGAGAAGAGTCATCCGCTGGGGAAGGTGAGAGGGGAGGGGGGAGGGGTGTGGGGAAAAGGAGGAATATGGGGGAGAGCAGGAAGTGTGTGGCGTGATTCGAGCCAAGGAGATGGCTCCTGGTTTGGAGGTCCGAGTGGTGGAGAAGATTCAACCGCTGGGGAAGGTGAGTGGGAGGGAGGGGGAGGGAGGGGGAGGGGGAGGCGGGAGGGGATGCGGAGGAAGGGGGATAGGGGATGGGAGGGGAAGGGGGAGGGATCTGGGGCGGGGCTGGGGGGTTGGGTGGGAGTGTTTGGCGCGATGCGAGCCAAGGAGATGGCACCTGGCCTGGAGGTCAGAGTGGTGGAGAAGAGCCAACCGCTGGGGAAGGTGAGCGGGAGGGGGGAAGGGTGTGCGGAAAAGGGAGGAATTTAGGTGAGAGCAGGAAGTGTGTGGCGCGATTCGAGCCAAGGAGATGGCTCCAGGCCCGGAGGTCAGAGTGGTGGAGAAGATTCAACCGCTGGGGAAGGTGAGAGGTAGGGGGGAAGGGTGTGGAGGAATTTGGGGGTGAGCAGGACAGGAAGTCATAGGCGCGATATGATCCAAGGAGATGGCTCGAGGTCTGGAGGTCAGAGTGGTGGAGAAGAGTCAACCGCTGGGGAAGGTGAGAGGGAAGGGTGAGGGAAAGGAAGAGGGGGGAACATGAGGAGAAACTAAGCTCCGCACAATACAGAACCGCACCGCACCACACTTTGTACTGCTCCTTGCCAAGACGTGCCTCCTCCCATGCCTCCTCCTACACCACTTCCCATACCTCCCTCCATGCCTCCTCCCATGCCTCCCCCCATGCCTCCTCCCGTGCCTCCTTCCATGTCTCCTCCCATACATCAGGTGCGCGGGTGGACGCTGCAACGTCACCACAGGCCTCGCAGCACAGCACACCACAGCATCGCACTGCACCGCACGCTGTACCGCACCATGACTCATGCCATTTCATACCCTACCCACCTGCCTCCTCCCATGCATCATCAGGTGCGCATCTCAGGGGGTGGACGCTGCAACGTCACCACAGGCCTCGCAGCACAGCACACCACAGCATCGCACTGCACCGCACGCTGTACCGCACCATGACTCATGCCATTTCATACCCCTACCCACCTGCCTCCTCCCATGCATCATCAGGTGCGCATCTCAGGGGGTGGACGCTGCAACGTCACCACAGGCCTCGCAGCCGACCCCATAGTACGTGAGATCTGTAACATGATTCCTTAGTACATGATCTGTAACATGTAACGTGTGATCTGTAACATGTAACGTGTGATCTGTAACATGTAACGCGTGATCTGTACCATGTAACGTGTGATCCATAACATGTAACGTGTAATTTGTAACCTTCCTTCCTCCCACTACCCAAGAGGCCTTTTGAGACGTCCCAAAATCTTCCTTTCCTCTCCTCTGCACCCCCCTCCTCTTTCCCTCTCCTTTTCCACCATTCCCAGCACCTCTCCTCCCACTACCCAAGGGGTCATCGGGAGCTCAAAGGATCCTTCTTCCGCACGCACGGCCCAGCAGACACGGTCGAGTGGTTCACCCAACGGGGGGTGCCCCTGAAGGTATGCTCGCATATGTCTGTCCTGCGCTTTGTCTGTGCTTCTAGGGATGCTGCTGCTCCCAGGGTCACCGCCTGCTCCCAGGGTCACCGCCTGCTCCCAGGGTCACCGCCTGCTCCCAGTCTGCTTTATTTACAGTCCCTCCCATCCCCATGACAGACTGGCCCAGACGGGCGCATGTTCCCCGTGTCAGACTCCTCCCAGTCGGTTATTGCCTGCCTGCTGCCTGCTGCTCATCTTAAAGCCCTCACCCTGCACCCCCATGCCAGACTGGCCCAGATGGGCACATGTTCCCAGTGTCAGACTCATCCCAGTCAGTTATTGACTGCCTGCTGCCAATCCCTCGCACTTCACCCCCCGCAGACTCCTTTCGAATTCCCCTTCCCCACTCTTCCCACCCCCCACCCCAACTCTCCTCACTCCCCATGCCAGACTGAACCAGACGGGCGCATGTTCCCAGTGTCAGATTCATCCCAATCGGTTATTGATTGCCTGCTCTCACAAGCACACGAGCTCTCAGGTGCAATCTCAGGTGCTCACAGGTGTATTCTCAGGTGCTCTCAGGTACGTCTCCAGGTGTATTTTTAGGTGATTCTCAAGTAAATCTGCAGATCTCCAACAGTCTCCAGGTGAATTGTCAGGTGAATTTTCAGGTAAATTTCAGGTGAATCTGCAGGTCTCCAACTGCCTTCCCCATGCCCTGCGTACTGACTGCTCACCCTGCATGGATATTGCCCTCTCACCCAGCAGGGGTATTAGTTTCTCACCTAGAGGCCTCCATCCCCTCTCCATCCCCTCTCCATCCCCTCTCCATCCCCTCTCCATCCCCTCTCCTCCCCCTCTCCTCCCCCTCCTCCCACCCCCTCTTCCTTCCCCCAGTGACCATCGCCCCAGGCTGGCCCGTATCATCCATCGCTCGCACCCCGTCAGGCCAGTTCCTCGTATCCTCCTCCAAGAAGACTCCAACGATTATCAGCAGCTCCCTCTCTCCGTCCCCTCTCTCCGTGCCCTCTCTCCGCCCTCCCTCTCTGTCCCCCTTCCCCCAGTAACCATTTCTCCTGGCTGGCCCGTGGCATCCATCACTCGCACCCCGTCAGGCCAGTTCCTCGTATCCTCTTCCAAGAAGACTCCAACGATTATCAATAGCTCCTCCTCTCCCTCCTCCTCTCCCTCCTCCTCCTCCCCTCTCTCCCTCATGGCTGATTTCGTTCTTATCGCCACGGGTGGGTCAATCAAGGTATTAGACCTTCGTGTCGGGGTTATTTCCAAATGTCATCCGTGCTGTTTATCGGTTTCATTTCAGCAAGTCCTTTTGCCTTCCTTAAAGTCCTGCCATCATCCCTTCCTGTACTTCCCTCATCACCCCTCATCACCCCTCATCAACCCTCATCAACCCTCAACAATCCTCATCAATCTTCATCACCCCTCATCCTCACCCTACATACTCACCCCTCCTCACCCCTCCTCACCCTTTCTCAACCTTCCTCACCCCCTCTCAATCCCCAGGGGCATGCCATGACATCATCCTCCCGCCACTTGATCATCCCTCCCTGCCCTTCCACCCTTCCTCTCCCAAAAGTGTCTCACAGTCTCACCTTTTTTCACTCCTTCTGATCCATCCTCATGCCTCAACGCCCCTTCTCATTCCTCCCCACCCCTTTCCACCCCCCCAGGGTCATGACATGGCATCATCCCTTGGTCATTCCATCATCCTTCCCTGCCCCTCTCTCTTCACGTTCAACATCCCTGATTCTGCTCTCACTGCTTTTGCGGGGGTGAGTGAGTGAGTGAGTGAGTGAGTTAGTGAGTGAGTGAGTGAGTGAGTGAGTGAGTGAGTGAGTGAGTGAAAGGATGAGTGAGTCTGTCTGAATTCTCAGCTCTAAGTTTCACAGAATCGTCACTCCAGCATCCCTCCTTGCCCGTCTCTCTTCACCTTCAACATCCCTGATGCTGCTGTAACTGCACTCGCAGGAGTGAGTGAGTGAGTGAGTGAGGGAGAGGTTCGGTGATTGAGTGGTTGAGTGACTGAGTGAGTGAGTGCCTTTTTAGTAGTGAATGCCGTCTCTTCAAATCACCAGCATCACCAGCACCTTTCCTTTCCCCTATGCCTCCCACGCACTTGCCTCTTTCCCTTTCCCATGCCCGTCTGCCCTTCAATGTTTCTGTCTGCATGATTCCATGCTGCTCTGTCTCCTGCCGCTGCGACAGCTGTTAATCGAAAGATAATTGCGTCACCAGTTACTCACTTCCCTCCAACTCCTCTCCCAATGCACGCCTGTTTTCCTGCTCTCAAATTCTCAAAGCGCCTCAAAAGTAGGCTAAAACTAACACATTCTCTTTGCCTTTCCATGCCCTTATAACAGGTATCTCTTGAAGACGTGTCTCTTAGACTGCTTGTTCCATCCTCCCCTTCCTCCTCCCCCCTTTCACCCCTCACCTCTGCTGATACTGTAACCACCCCTGCCACCACTGCCACCACCACCACCACTGTTGCTGCTGCTGCTGCTGCTGCTACTGCTCCTGCCACCGTTGCAACCACTGGCAAAACCAAGACCAAGCAGCGAAAAGACAAGGAAATATCTTTCACACAACGAGGGCCCCTGCTGTTCACGCACTGGGGAGTGAGTGGTCCAGCCGTGCTGAAACTCTCCGCGTGGGCTGCGAGAAATCTGCATGCCTCAGCTTACACCGGTGGGTGGGTGGTGGGTGGTGGGTGGTGGGTGCGTGAGTCTCTTTCCCTTCAACCCAATTGCGCCTCTGTCCCCTCACCCCTCTCCTCTCACCCGTCCTCGTCACGCACTGGGAAGTGAGCGGTCCAGCTGTGCTGAAACTCTCTGCTCATAATGGTGGGTGGATGGTGGGTGGTGGGTGGTGGGTGGGTGCTCTTTCCCCTCCTCCCGTTGCTCTTCACGCACTGGGGAGTGAGCGGCCCGGTTGTGCTGAAGTTCTCAGCCTGCGCTGCCAGGAATCTGCACGCCTCTACTTACAACGGTGGGTGGGTGGGTGGGGGGTTACTCTGGTGACTTTTGAGCCGACTCAAAAGCCACTGCTTACACTGGTGGGTGGGTGGGGTGGGGGGTTACTCTGGTGACTTTTGAGCCGACTCAAAAGCCACTGCTTACACTGGTGGGTGGGTGGGGTGGGGGGTTACTCTGGTGACTTTTGAGCCGACTCAAAAGCCACTGCTTACACTGGTGGGTGGGTGGGTGGGGGGTTACTCTGGTGACTTTTGAGCCGACTCAAAAGCCACTGCTTACACTGGTGGGTGGGTGGGTGGGGGGTTACTCTGGTGACTTTTGAGCCGACTCAAAAGCCACTGCTTACACTGGTGGGTGGGTGGGGTGGGGTGTTACTCTGGTGACTTTTGAGCCGACTCAAAAGCCACTGCTTACACTGGTGGGTGGGTGGGGTGGGGGGTTACTCTGGTGACTTTTGAGCCGACTCAAAAGCCACTGCTTACACTGGTGGGTGGGTGGGGTGGGGGGTTACTCTGGTGACTTTTGAGCCGACTCAAAAGCCACTGCTTACACCAGTGGGTGGGGTGGGGGGTTACTCTGGTGACTTTTGAGCCGACTCAAAAGCCACTGCTTACACCAGTGGGTGGGGTTGGGGGTTACTCTGGTGACTTTTGAGCCGACTCAAAAGCCACTGCTTACACCAGTGGGTGGGGTGGGGGGTTACTCTGGTGACTTTTGAGCCGACTCAAAAGCCACTGCTTACACCAGTGGGTGGGGTGGGGGGTTACTCTGGTGACTTTTGAGCCGACTCAAAAGCCACTGCTTACACCAGTGGGTGGGGTGGGGGGTTACTCTGGTGACTTTTGAGCCGACTCAAAAGCCACTGCTTACACCAGTGGGTGGGGTGGGGGGTTACTCTGGTGACTTTTGAGCCGACTCAAAAGCCACTGCTTACACCAGTGGGTGGGGTGGGGGGTTACTCTGGTGGATGGCAGCGCTGAAATGTTTCTCTTGGGTTACTCTTCTGCACAGTTCTCCCTCCCTCCCTCCCTCCCTCCCCCCCAACCTACCTCTCTCCCTTTCTCCAACCCACCGGCAACTCTAGTGGCCGACTTTACCCCTCACCTCTCCGCTGCTGCTCTCCTCCCTGCACTCACTGCTTCATCTCCTCACCTTTGTTTCCTTCCCCCTTTCCTCACCCCCTTCCTCCCTCCCTCCCCCCCTCCCTCCCTCCCTCTTTCTTTCCCTCTCTCCCTAACACCAGCCACCCTAGTGGCCGACTTTACCCCTCATCTCACTGCTGCTGCCCTCCTCTCTGCACTCACTGCTGCCAAGTCATCACTTCAGGTAATTTCCACAAAAGAAGGACATTCTTCCACCCTCCGTTTTCTTCAACAAACCAGTTTCCTCCCCACTGCATATTATTTCCCACACTCACTCGTTCTCTCCAGTACTCACACAAGCCCTTTAACCGCCTCAGAAGACACCTCTTAGCACCAAAGCCACTCATTGACTCACTCACTCACTCACTCACTCACTCTCTCACTCACTCACTCACTCACTCCCTCCCTGCGACACTGGCAGAAGAAACAAATCGGCACCACTGCGCCAGTGGAGCTGAACCTTCCCAGAAGGTTCTGGTGTTACCTGCTTGATCGTGCTGTGAGTAACAGTCTTACAATTGGCAAAGCCCTTTTCCTGGTAGCCTAAAAACAAATATTGTTAAGTGCCGATTTTCTTCAAGGCGCCTCAAAAGCCAGAGTAACAAGGTTCCTGCGTCTCGAAAGTGTTATTGATAAGCAGTGCCATGCCATGTCATACATAACACCTTTTATTCCAAACGAGTCTTCTTTCTTTATCAGTTCTCAGTTTCCGCCCGCTTTTTCTCCCCTCCCCGTTCCCTCTCCCCCTTTTCTCCTCTCCCCCCTCTCTCCCCCCCCTTCTCTGCATTCAAATTCCAAAGGAAATTCATCCCGAGACTCTCTGGGCACACGTGTCAAAGGCCCATTTGCTCGCCCTTGCTGATGGCATCCACAAAGCTGAGCTGGCAGTGGCAGGGAAGGTGAGGAGAATATGAAGTGGAGAATATTGAGTGATTCTTTTTCAGGCGCCTCACAAATAGACACAGGTTGCAGCACCCCGCCTCATTCACAGTGTTTTTTAGTCGCCTTAAAAGTCAAATCGACACAGGTTGCAGCACCCCGCCTCATTCACCGGTGTTTTTTTCCTTCAATCGCCGTCTCTCGTCGGTTCAATCCGGGTCAGTTTGTTCTGGTTCGGATATGTCTTGGGTTCAATGGTCTTCTCCTGTACTGTAACCATTGGCTTCTATTCTCCCCTTTAACTTCTGTTTTTATGTCTTTTAGTACTAGTATAATTCTATTTTCCCTCGTTTGCAACGTTGCTGATTATTGCATGATTCATGCCTTCCATTGCTCCTTCTGCCTCTTTGCCTCTTTGCCTTCTGCCTCTCCCATCCATTCCCCTTCACTCCTCTCCACTCCTTTTTTCTCCTCTTCTCCCCTCTCCTCTCTCCTCGCAGGGTCGATTTAAGGATGAATTTGTGACTGCAGGTGGTGTTCCTCTAAAAGAGGTATTTCCCCTCATTTCTTTTCCTTTCTGCCTGCCCTTCTTTTCCTTCTTCCCTTCTCAGTTTCCTTCCTGCTACCCTGCTCATGCCTTTCCCACTGTTTTCCAGATCCCAACTCCCTCCCATTGCTTCCCCTGGTGCTTTCCTTTCCACATCCCATGTCACACCTCAAGCTCAATCTCGCAGCACTAGAGAGTCCTCTAGTCCCTCCTTTTGAGGCGCCTCAAAAGTCCTCTCCACCCTCGTCATTGCTTTTCTTTCAACCATTCTCCTCTCCCCTTTCCCCCGCCTCTCAGCCTCTCCCCGTCGCTCCCCCATTGCCTCCCCCATCCCATGCCACACCTAAAGGTCAATCTTACCACAAAGGATTGCCATCTTGTTTTAAATCTCTTCTTTGGTTTCCGCTTAAAAGGCCCTCTTTCCCCATTCCCCCTCCCAATTTCCCCCATTGCTCCCCCGTTTCACCCCCCATCTGACACCACACCTCAAGCTCAATCAATCTCACAACAATGAGTTGCCATCTCTTTCCCCCATCGCTCCCCCATTGCCTCCCCCATTGCCTCCCCCATCCCATCTCACACCTCAAGGTCAATCTCGCAACAATGGAGAGCCGTGTCGTTCCCAACCTCTTTTTGGCAGGCGAGGTGAGCTATTGTTGAAGAGGTGAGCTTTTCTTATGGATGGGTTGGAGCCAATTTGTGGGAATCTATCAGTGTGCTTGTTTATAGGAGATGAAATCTGGGGGACTGTTCGTTTGAGAATTCTCAAAAGCGAGATTACGGGGGCATGTTCGTTGCGGGTGGAGAAACGACTTATGAGGCACCTCTAGGGGTACCAATGGGGTGTTTTGGTACACCATGTGGGTGCAATGTTTTGCTAAACTTTGATGCTTAAAGCCCGAGTCCCAAATTGCGAGGCGCGTGGGTCATGCTTTTAAAACTTGACGAAGTGCAGTGTGCAAGCTTTGAAAAGTAGCGCACCTGCAATTTGGGACTTTCGGGTGCTGACACAACCCCCAGGGCGAAATACGTGGGCTGGCTGGGTTTGGCGAAAAAAACGAAATGCCCGAAATCGAAATCAATCGCCAAAACCCAAACCAGAAAAAACCCCTCGCGTCATCCTTTTAAAACCCCCCAAACGTTTGCTCCGTTGAATTCGGTATGCGCTAATGCAGATATTGATCTTGCCTTTTCTTTCTTTTTGACGCTTGGAGTCACGTTTCACCTTTGTTGATTTTCTACAATTGTGACACAGGTACTGAACGTGGATGGAATCACAGGAGGCTTCAATTTCCAGGTAATGTCCTTGGCATTTGCTCACTCGGTGACTTTTGAGTCGACTCAAAAGTTGACTTTTGAGTCGACTCAAAGGTCAATTCATTTTGAGTCGACTCAAAAGTCCACAGGAGGCTTCAATTTCCAGGTAATGTCCTTGGCATTTGCGCACACGGCATGATTCATTTGCCTCAATGTTTGCATGCATAAGGTGCACCATACAGAAGTATATGCACCCACATGCATCCATGCATGCATGCATATGCATGTAACGATGGCTCCATAATAATGCACATACAGTGTAAGGGTATTGAATGTACCAGCAGCATTTTCTGAATGGCCTTGCTCTTCACGCAGGAATACCAAGGTCTGCATAAGTAACAATTTGTGCTGCTATCTACTTTCCCAAACACCCGTTTTTTTTTTATAGTTTCTTGTCCTTTCTTGTTTGGTTCGCGTTTATGCGTTGCGTTACCCCTTACAGAACGCGTGGACGGGAGGCTACATTGCAGGAACTGCCATAGCAACTGCAGCCAACCGATTACACTCACCTTTCACCTAGATATCCGGATGTCGTGTGGGATAGAACGTTGCGGTATGTCATTCTGAATGGTCCACTCCGATGACCTAGATGTACGGTTCGGCACCAATTATGTATTATGGTTTCAGAATTCTAGGGGTTGAGATCAAAGTATCTGCCAGAGCAGGACTCAAGTAGGCAGGCCATTTCAGGCCCGTGCTTTCACATAATTCAGGCTAGCACAGAGCATTAGCAAGCTAAATTGTTAGAAGCATTCCAATATTGCGAACGCTGTGAACTGGTGTTCCGTTCGTACCCGCTTTAGACCGTTTTAGTGTTTCACTTGCAAATATGCAATTCTGCGGTCAGCAGCTTCAACTGGTAGACGGCCAACAGATTGGGGCTAGAAATCAGAAACGGAGATTTTTTGTCTGGGGTCCCGTTCCCACACTAAAAAAAGCGCAGGTGAACCCCGTGGTTCCCACGCAGGTGTCGTCAAACTAACTCGAAATATTACACTGTTACAACTTGAGGGTCAGCAAGTCCAGTCTGTTTTTTCCCTCACAAAACTCATCCCCATCCGCCAATTTACAGGAAGCCAATGTTGAAGGGATCGCATCGCGCGCGGTTCGGCAATGTCACCATCATCACATCAACCAATCCAATTTCCCTACCCACCCTCATTCCTCCGAAGGTCTTCAGAACCCAACCAAAACGCACACCACACGATCTATGCTAGTTGCCCAAATTCTGGTGGTCAGGTTGGGTTGGTGAGATTTATTATTTTGGGCTCTTCTGCCTACAAGCACAAGTCACCCTTGGTTTGTACCTGCTTGGCGCAGGTCAGCCCCACGTTATTATCACTATGCACACCCCGGCTCCAACTGCAACAGCCCAACACGCGCCAGCTAGTACTCTACTCCCTCGAGCCGCAACACGCGAGAGTCGACCAAGGGTCCAGTTTTTCATTCTCCTTCAACCTTATGGGTGCACCCAGGCTAGGTGGGAAGGAGGACAGGATACTCGATACTGTCCAGGTGCCTGGTAGTAGGCAGAACGTGCTGTGGGCAACAAATGTCAGGTCAGGTCGCATATAAACTTCGATGCGATAACCGCTTTACGAGCAGTCTTACGAGTTTCGCCGTAGTACTACCCAGCAACTAACACGATGACGAGAAGCCTGTCGTTCCGAGTGCTTCTCTGGGTCCTCTTAGTGCTAGCCGCCGTCCTCGAGATTGCCTCGCATGCAAGAGCAGTGGCAGTACTAGGCAAACCCAGCAGGCGCCCCTCACCCCCCGACTTATGGCCTCCGTATGAAATCCTAGGAACTTGCACGCACACAGGTAAGACATACCGCAGGATATCACTCCTCTTGTTGTCTTTTTTCCTTCGTTTTTTGTTTTGTTATTTCTTCCTCCTTTTTATAACTCCATTGGTTAAGTGGGTGATCAAGTGACGTTCAGACCCTGCTGTCGGCCCTTCCGTGATGCCCCGTCGCAGGTGCGATCAACACTACCATTTCGCCAGATTTCGTCGGGACCACGTGGCGAGGTTGGGGCACTTCGCTCGCGTGGTTCGCGAACTACGTCGGCGGCTTGCCGCAACAGGAGCTAACCAAGATTCTAGACCTCCTCTTTGATCCCGATTCTGGCTTGGGTTTAAACATCGTACGTTACAACATCGGAGGGGGGCATAATAAGAAACTCAGCCCTCAGTTCCAGGACTTCAGTCAGGATTCGTATTGGCGGGGAGTGCCGGGTTTCAAGCCGACTAAAAACGGTCCGTACGATTGGAGCGCGGACGAGCGGCAGCGGAACGTCCTGATGGGAGCGAAGGAGAGAGGAGCGAATGTCTTCGAGGCGTTTTCAAACAGCCCGCCCTGGTGGATGACGTTTACAGGCGACGTGGCGGGCTCGAACAGGCGAAGGACGACGAATCTGCGACCCGAGTACGAGGGCGCTTTCGCAGACTACCTGACGACCGTCGTGGCTGAGTTCGCGAAAAGATGGGGGGTAACATTCGAATCGTTGGAGCCGTTTAACGAGGCGTTGGAAGGGTTTTGGGTGAAGGGGATGGACCACGAAGGCTGCTCGTTTAACCCACCCGAAATGGGCCGTGTCATCAAGTACACTTCTGACTCGCTAAGCAAGAAGGGGTTAAAAACGAAGCTGGCTGGCGTGGATAGCTGGTACGGAGGTACATCGGAACTGCCTCAGCTGGACAATCACCAGCTACTAGCGCGGATAAACGTTCACTCGTACGTGAATATGTACGACAATGGGGACGCAGCTGCGTCTTACGAGGAGAAATTCGGCAGTATTCGCGACACAGCGAAAATGCTGGGAAAGGACGTCTGGGTCAGCGAAGCAGGGCCGATAACCAAAGGAGGAAGCTTCTGGGATCTTTCGCTTTACATGGCGCGAAATGTTATCGAGAGCGTCAATATCATGGAGGCCTCAGCGTATGTCATCTGGCAGGCGTACGATTTCGGCGCTCACTGGTCATTCATTCGCTTCCCGTCGTACTATCGTCCGCCGTTCAAAGGCCGAATGATACAGCCCAAGGCGAACAGGCGGTTTTGGCTCTTCAAGCATTTCACGCTGCTTGCCAAGCCTGGGTCCAAGCCAATCAGGGTAGGCTCACGGTGCCAGCACGGGATGAGTGCGTTCTACAACCCTCAAGACGCGCAAGTTACAGTGTTTATGGTAAATCAGGAGGCTGGGGATCGACGAGTGACGCTTAATTTGGAGGGGTTTAAGACTAACGTGGGAGGGAGCACCAGCGTGGTTGTTAGGAGGACGTCTGAGTTTGCAAATTTCAGCAAGAAGGTGTTCACGCAGTTCAAGGGGAAAGCTAGGCTCACGGTGTGGGGGCAGACCTTCGTTTCTGTCACATTCACCAATGTGGCAAACTAGAATTTGACTGGTAGCTCAGCATTAGGTTGGGTAGCTCACATAGTCATGGCTCTGCTTAGATTGGATGTGCCATCTATTTGTAGTAATTAGGCAACATCTATTCGACCATGCTCTTGTTTATTCCACAATTTCTGTGAAGAATCTGTAGGTAAATGGCCTTGGTAGGAAAGATAGGTGCTCAAAATAGGATAGGCCTTATGGAATCTGCTCTCCTCACCAACACAAATCCACTAGTAGAGGAAGAGATTGCAGAAAAAGATGGGTGTATGCTTCACGGTGCTCAATATGCTATCGCCTCGCCATGTATCTGGTATGTGTTCGACTGTCCCGCCCACACCCCAGGGTCGCTGATTCGCTGTTCCTGCAAGAACCAGCCCGGGTCGGTTCCTAATACGAGGATTTCCGGTAATGTCACCCGCTCGTTACAACACTCACATTTCGAATCGCACATCGCACACGCGGTTCGACTCGAAATGACCCACA